CGGTGGAAGAGGTTTCCGCGCCGTCCGGTTAAAATACGACGCACTGATATTTAGTTACTCTCTTTGTGCCCGCTGGCTTGCCCGAACCCCAAGAGACGTGGAAACCGCAAAAAAGGTAGACGCTTAAATATGATTGCAGGGCCTTTTTAACGCCTCGTTTGTAATGCCCGTCTAGGACTTTGACAGGTAGTGACGATAACTGTCTCGCCTCCGGCCACCACGAGAGAAGACGGTAAGCAGGGACTCCCCTCTCCCCGAGACCCTCTTTTGTGTGACCCAGACGTCGCTATTGTCCCTCTACAAGACTATAAAAGATTCAACCGTCACTCAAAATTCGTACAAAAGCAGCTTTAGGGTTAGTTGCGGTGGCCCGATCACTGGCGCGCTTCGGCCACTTCCGTGGCTGGAACGGCTAAGACATCCACTCGACGTCAGCCCCGCCTCCGCTTTGCTTGTCCCGAGACAATCTACGTCACGATAGCGCCGAATGTGACGCGCTCTCCGCTGGCTGCTCTCCGAGCGCTTGCCAGGGTGGGCCGTTTATAACGAAAAATACTGCCATCAGGCTCAAAATACAAACGTGCGATTGTCATTTACGGATGTTGTGCATCATATTCAGCCTATTTCTGAACAGTGAACACGACGGGTATATATTTCAAATTTCGTTGAAGTATGTAAGCACTGTGGGTCACAGTAATGCTATGAAAGTAATAAACGTTCCTATCTCAACGTTGTTGCACGGCCCACATAAATTTAATCAAATTATACACCTGTTAATTTTCTCGTGTACCCTTTCATTTCGAAACGATTGAGACGCCGTGTTGAGTACACGGAGGCACGCAACCACACGAAGTTGCAACAAAAAATATACTTTTGTAAGCCATAAGGCAGCACATATCACACGGACAGATATTTGAGCGAGCAGTGCCGGCCGTGTAATCGCGGCCATGCGAGACAGTCCTCTTCATCCAGACACGAGCGCTGCCCAGCCTTGCATTGTCACTTCCCTGCAAGAGGTTTCACTCAACAAAACAACTTGCCAATCAGGGGAACCTTTTCCTTAAACGGGGTGAACGCCATCAGTTATTGGCCTACGGTGTCGCCCTTGAAGTCAAACCGTCCAGACCTTGCTACTAAGTCTGTGCCGCCTTTAATAAATGCGACATCTCAGGTTTTTTGTTTGTGTTTTTCAAGAAACGATATAAATCGGCGTACGCTTATCATAGCGTTTTTTTTTCTTGCTTTATTTTTTTGTGTGTGTGTTTGAGCAGCATTTGTTAGAGACACCGACACCCCCCAAAAAGCCCGGCGATTTATTATTGTGTCAGAAGACTACCCAATCAATGTGTTGCTGCAGCGTCGCGTATATTCTTTTATAAAATAAAAAAAATTAAAAAAAAACTGCTCGAAACCAAAACTGAAACTGGACTGGTGCGGAAGAAGAAATATAGAGGACAGAGTTGGCAAAAATCACGTGGCTGTGCAACTTTTTTTTTTCAATCGGCGTATTTGCAGCTTTTTAGAAGCCACAAAAAACTGTTATCGCTGTTATTGAGGTTCGACTCGTGTGCGCATGCGCGACAGGCTGGCCAGTTGGCCTCGGATTGGATGGTGATGGCTAAGGCAATTAAGGGCACCGCTGATTGGTTATTTCAGTTAATACAGTACAAAAATATTAGGTTATTAACTTTTTGAGTGATTAGAATTGATATCTTTTAATTGCAACTGTTCATAAAATAAAATAACCGGTTGCATATAAATAAATTCTCCAAACCTAGACATGCTTGTATCAAGGTCTGGCCACACTGTCCGCAAAGTCCAACGAGGTCAACGTTAAAACACTCAGTTTGGAAACTCCCATAAAGACAGCTTTGAAAAAGTGGCCCCAAACTGTCTCCGAGCACCGAGCTAATAACGAACACAACGCCACCATTTCTCCCGCAGCGGCCACTCGAGGAACTGCACGTGACTTCTATTTTGGCTTTAAGAACAGATACAGCGGTAGAGGTTACATGGGTGCCATCCCCGGCGGACGCGCCGCGTTGAGTAAAGCGCGATCCAAACCAACGCTTCTTTTTGCGCCTGTAGGTCGTGCGGCTGCGGATGTGACGCATTTCGTGGCGTTTTTGCTGTTTCCGGGCGCGCTTTCTGAGTCAGAACCGTGCGCTTTGGTTTGGACGGGCGAAACTTTGGGCGAGCGCACACGCGCGCACGCAGGCACGAGCGCACAAGCAAAGTGCAACTGCGACAGACTGGCCGGCCAGACGGCGAGAGAAAGAGAGAGAGAGAGAGAGAGATCGCGTGGTCATGTTGGAAGAGAATAAAAGGGGCGGAGGAGAGGGCAGCCAGACGGCGAGAAACGCGGAGCCGGAACTAGCTTGCCCTCCACCGATTGGCCGGGACACAGGAGCGCCCTACTACGTCACCGCGCGTTTTTGTGCGCATTGAGAAAGAAGTTGAAATCAACCAACTTTCTTGTGCGCGCCCGGAAGGAGCAAAGAAGCGGCGCGACGTCACGAAAATGCGTCACATCCGCAGCCGCACGACCTACAGGCGCAAAAAGGAGCGTTGGTTTGGATCGCGCTTTACCGAAGTTAAAATGTACCTAGGGCGGGACGTGCTACCTGAAAGGCCCGCTGAGGCATGGTTGTATAAAAACAATATTAACTGTGCCGCAAAATCCTGCAAACTAAAGATTTTAAAAACATAACGCGCCCCTCTTTTGGTACTAAACTCCAATAAATTTCATACAAAAAGAGTCTTTTCCGTTTGTTTTTACGCAAAAACAGGCTTTCAAAAAGCTCTAGGTGACCACAGTTCAGACAAGTGACAAAGAGTGGCGCTGTTGTCGCATTTAGCCCGGTCTCGGTGGACGCCAGCGGCCCAGGTTTCGACGAAGAGTTTCCCAACTGAGTGTTTTAGTAACGTTGAACGAGGTCAACGAGGTAGGCAAAGTCGAACCGGTCGAATCTGGTGAAAAGTTCGAAGGCTCGTCGAACCAGTTCGACCCAAAAATCTGGTTCGACAAAAGTTCGCGACACCCCTAGTCGAAACCATAGAAAACGGCAAGTGAACACGAAGAAGAGAGTGAGTGCGAATAAAACCGGCCAGTTTTTAATCAATAACTTTTGAGCGGGAAAAAAAAAAAAAAAAAAACGAATTTTGAGCCGCAAAATGTGTTCTCGGTAGTAGGCTCTCATATGTTATGTACAAATAAAAACCTTGGCGAGCATAAATACCCCGTCAATTTAGTTTAGCACGAGTTGTTATGTAACTGATTTATAAATGTAGTTCAACGTTCCTACAATGTAAAATACTAGCCGCTTTGTCGAGAAAAAAAATATCAGGCAAGATAGAGGACGCCTTTCTTACCAACAACGCCGACGCGATACGCCGCTACTCCAGCTCGCCTTGAACGACGAGAAATGATTTCTCGTTTAATAAATGAACTCGAAGTCCCCATATGAAGACTGGTTTTTGAAACGACGGATTGAGACTGTTTGCTAATGGCGCCGAAAGCCGGCGTCATCTTATCGACTCAAAAGCGACGCGAGTTCCGCAGGCGGCGACAGTCACAGAACCAAAAACAGGCGCGGGGCGCGGTAACAAGGAACTGCCCCCCCCCCCCCCCCCCCAAAAAAAAAAAAAAACAGTCAAAAAAAGTTGACAAATTATTTTTTTATTTTTAAACCGATTATGTGCCCATTCAATGTGTTTTATTACAAAGGATGATAAAACCATGCATTGACAACTGACATCAAAAAAGCTCGCGCAGCTTTTGAGTCGAAAATATCGTCTGCTACACAGATCTGCTATTTGACGCCGGCTGTCGGCGCCGTGTGCTCGTCCGTTTGCGGCAGATTGGCGTCGCGACCGCTAGAGCACTATATAGCTCCTACGGAGCAGAGTAGCGCAATCCTTTGAACTCCGTGTTTTGCCGACAACATGGCCGACAGAGCGGATCGGCGCGAGTCACGTGGTACTCAGGGTTCCAGGAGGCGGCCCGCCCTATGGGAGAATACATGGAGACCGACTCAACACGGCTGATTAAAAAATGAACGGCGAGTTCACACTTTTCAAAACTAGTCTGTCGTGAAGTTAGTAAAGCACTAAACATTTTATCAAAGTTTTAATAATATCGGATGCGTGTGCAAATTTTGAGAAGGCAATTTCCAAGGCAATGGCGTTTGAAGCAGACGATTTTTGCTCGCAGTGGAGATGGGCTTTTCGGGTTGGCCGGAGCGGGTCACGTGAATGGTGTGACGTCGCCGTGTCGTCTGCTGCATGATGCCGCTCAGGCAATTTTTTAAAAAAAGTCACGTCCTTGTGGGGCACAAAACTTAGCGAAAATTATTCTAAAGTGTTCCATTATTGTGTCAAAAACGATTGCCATTCCGTACATCCCCACAATACTGAAGAAACAACGATTTTCTCACGTTCTCCATGCATTTCTGACCGCAGTTGGAACCTCCGGGCGTTCGCCGCTAATCGCCGAGGGGCGGCGTTCTAGATTGCGCTACTCTGCTCCGAAGGAGCTATATAGTGCTCTAGCGACCGCTTGCGCCATCTCTTGTTTTCCGTGCAAAACGACACCTTATTCTTTAAAAAAAAAAAAAAAAATGCACCACTTGTTTGCAACATTGCACAAAATCATAGCGCGATAGGTTAATTAAGAAACCGATTTTTGCGGTTTAGAGAGACTGGCCGACACCCTGTCTCAGACACGCTGCACTAGACAGTGCCAGGTTTTCTTTTTTTCTTTCTTTTGCTTTTGAATTATTCTTTATTGCGTATTCCATAGAGGCGGATTCATCGATATGGCCGGGTTTAGCGGATTTTTTACCAACGTCTGTATTTATCGATGCGAGACTCCGCCGGCAGACGGCGCAAGCGCCTTAAAAGTTCAGAGACTTTTCTGTTTTTGTTTTGTTTTGCTTCTGTGCTTGTGGGTTACTTTGCTAGGACTCGACGGCGACTCGCTTGACTCGTCCGTGGTAAGATTGCACGTCAAGCCTCGGTTAATCTATAAATCCGGCCTCGGAGGTCGCGTGCAAATTAATACCTCGCTCTGCCCCACGTACCGCGGCCCCTGACCAAGTTAACAGCGGGACGACTGGTCCATTTCCGCCGCACAAGCGGGCAGGCGCGGCCCGGCATTGTCCGTTCGAAGCGGCGGCCACCGCGGCAGCTAGGGGAGGAGGGGGGGTTCATTCCACTAATTCCGCGTTCTATTTCAAACGTTAGCGATTCGGTCGGCCCGTCGGCTCTTCGAACTGCCTCAGCTTCGTTCTTCGAGCCCCACAAGGCGTCGTTGACCTTCCAGCGAGGCAGTCCTTCCGATCCGACGTCGGGGTAAACATCGTAGCTTCACCCTATTGCTTTGGTGATATGGTGGAATGCCTATCTCGTACAACCCGCGAATGATGGCGGCTCGACCGTCTTTTTTTTTAATTTTTTTTTTTATTATTATTATTACGATGGAGTGCATCGCTTTTTTTTCGACGAATTCGTTTTTTGGGCATGTTTTTGTGCTCTCCGCGCGTTTTCAATTTGCGGTAATCGATTCTGCACAGCGGGAATCGAGGCCGCACGTAAGGCTTATGGAAAACCTTGCGAATTAGCGAGACTTTTTTTTTTTCTTTCTCCCCTGTTTTTCTGTTTGCTTTGCTTCTATGCGGAATTGATTTCCGCGTGAGCAAAGTCGAAGTGATGTGGTCTAAGACTGCTACTTTCAGGGACTGTTTAAAAGAAGGCTCTGCGAACGTGTAAGGTAAACACCGTGCCGTTGCTGTTTCGCAGTAGTGGTCGCGAATCAAGTAATTGGATTGCGATTTCCGATAAAGCAATTACGCTTTGAGTTTCCCCTTGGTTCATTTATTTTGCTTTCTTTTCTAGAGCCAGGGCCCTTTGTTTTGCCATGGATAAAAAGGTAATTATGATTGCTCCTCGGTTTCTTTGTCTTCCTTGTTTTGAAGCCCCCGAATTTGAAGTTTGGTCCTCGTTTTCTTTTTTCCGTGCCCTGCGGTTATCGCCTCGCTTAGCAGCAACTTCGTCTTCCGTCACGTCGATCGTTTGCGTCATTGCACGAGTCACTCTGTTAGCCTTACTTCGAACACAAGAAAACAACAACAAAGCCTACTAAAGTAAATCTGTTACACGCTGCAGATGGTGGGAGGTTAAGGATTGCAGATGCAGGAAAGCCACATGGCTTTCGGCATTGTTGGGGGAGCAAATGTCTTAATGGTGCATAACAATCGGCATGAGATGAAATGCGATGTTGCCCATATAGCACATATCAGTTCACGTCGCACCTCCCAAATGGTTATTTGCGAAGATGCTGCTGGCATTTCACACTGAGCCAAGTTTTGCTCCCATTCGTGTTTCTTGCATGACCTGTGAACTGAGCAGTAGGTGAATGTCGTTCAAAGCAGTCCATTGTGTCACATTGACCACAGGATAACATTTGGTAGTGTTGAGGGAAGCAAGTTCATGTATAGCAGAGATGACGGTCAGCAACCTGCAATACTTGTGTGCAAAAACTTGTACAACACTGAAGAGCTTTAGTAGGGTGGTTGGTGCATGTCCAGCTCACGGTGGACTGCCCTTGCAATAAGATGGCACTGTGCTTGCATAAAGTGCTCCAAGTTGTAGCATAGTTAGTTCTTAAAATGAGTGCCTGCTCTGGCTCGCTGTGCATTGATTTGAGCATTGTTTACATAGCTTGTCGACATAATCAATAGCTCCCAAAATGGTTGTTCAGCTTCACCCGTGTTAGCATTTCTGCTGGCATTTCACTTGCGTGAAAGAGAACAACATTCAAGAAATATAGGGACTACAGTGCGTGCAGCTGTTAAATGAAGCGTGTGAGCGGTGGTCTGAGCTGCCATTGACCAATTTCTAAGCATTCCACGCATGCGTGACACCGCCATAACTGTAGTCCACAGGAGGTGGGTGCCACTGCACGAGACAGCTCGTGTCGTTTGATGCTCTGCTCGCGCAGACCCGCAGCGGGGTTGTCGCGCGTGCAGAAAGACTACAGTTCCCACGATGCATGCTGGCATCAGTGGCAGAATGAAACTGGTGTGAGTTTGGTTTATTGGAGCCGCCTAGCAGCAAAATCGGTAGTTTAACACAAACAAAAAAATGTCTGCCGCTACTCACACGCTTTGTTTAATAGTTGCCGGCACTGTACGTAGCACGTGACGCAAATTGGTACGCGTGGCATTTATTCGGGCTCGGTGTGAAGCAGACCAGCAGGTATAGTGGCAGACTGTGTACCCTAAGGAAAACGACTTTGAAAGTGGCGAGCTTGCACCAGAAATGGAACGTTTGTAAGACACACTTTTTCATTCTATCGTGTCGGCAGCTATAAACGACCCTCTTTTCAGAGTTTACTCAAAACGTCCACGACCCGTCGTACGCAGAAAAAAGGCAAGGTAGCAAAAGCCGGGGTCAAGGGCAAGCCCACGCACGGGGGTCTTAGGGCCCAATCGACCCGGGGACGCAAGGCCGCCGCCCCTTCCTCCCCGGTCAAGAGGGCAGCCAATGCGCTGCAGGCTAAGATCAGCACACGGAATGGCTCCGGCACCAACTGCAAGAGCTGTCGGCGGAGCTTCGCCACGGAGCGGGGGCTCAAGATGCACCAACGCAGACCCTGCAAGCCCGACAATGAGGTGGGTGGGAACTCGTAGCCCTTCACTTTCGGTGGTGTTGGTACGGAGGCCAAGCGTCGTCCACTCGCGTAGGACGCAAGGCATGCCACCATTGAATTGGTGGACAGGTGCAACCGAGTTACGACTGGGGTTCCATGTTTTTTAGAATTTTTTTATTTTATTTTTTTAATTTGGGGATGTTTTTTGGGCGTTAAGCACCAGACACATGGACGGCAGAATCATCCGATTCGACAGTCCGAACGCTGCTCTGAATCGCCGCACGCGACAGTTTGAGGCACACGCTTCCGACCTTGCATGCGACTCAATGATCCGTTCAGCTCCGCCCAGGAGATCCAAGCGCTCCAGTGGAGGTCAGTGTTCCTATAGTACAGGGTAAATTTCTGGTCCCAGATTGACAATTCAGGTTCCAGTTAGCACATGCATTCTTCGCTAAGGCCATCTTTCTCGACTGCATCAGCGGGATTCACACGTCCGGCTTCCTGTCGCCCAGGTCAGTTCCGTTTTCTTTACCATTTTGTTGGACCACCTGAGACTGGGTGGAAGAAACACGACGACGTCTCAAACACAACTAATTACTTTATATTTAGTGCTCCCTCCTTTTATACATCCTGAACCCAAAATCGTCACCAGACAGAACACACTCCAAACAATGACAACAAGAAGGCACGCCCTAACCTCGCAAAAAAAGGAAAAAAAAAAAAAAAAAAGGAAGACAGAACCATTTGGAACCAACAAAAGGTACACACATCAAAACATTGGCAAATGATAAACCTACACCAGCTCGCCTGCGCCCTAACTGTTTTTTCATTAATCGTTTTCTTGTTTGTCCTGCCATACCCAGTACATCATCATGACGTTCGTGCTAGCTGTGCTGTCATTGGCTGGATGCTTCCGACAGTCCGTCCGCCGTGCGAAACTATCTGGCACGTTGGACACACACCGGATCGCCGATCCGACGTCTGGAGTGACCAAACTTTTCTCGTATCAGGCAGTCGTATTGCCGGATCGGACGTCGGATCGGATGGATTTTTCGCGCATGTGTGTCGCGCTTTATTTTCTCTGAGAAATTCAGGGTTTTTCTGCATCTACTTTCAATGTCGGACAAGAAAGTGGCATCTATTGGGGGGGGTGTGCTTACGTCGGAGAGAACTGACGCTGCCGCTGGCCCTAACCTCTAGGAAATGCGTGCGCGACCCAAATACTCGTAAAATGTCCCAGTTCCGCTAACGGGAGGAAACGAGATGGGGCACTTGGTCACCAAAGAAGGCCACAACCTTTCAAACGGTTAAGTATGAGTTGTTCTCTAGATTAACACATGATAAAGCTGTAGATAAATAATTGTTTCTTCAAAGCATAGGTATTTCTTATTTACGGACATCTCCAGTTTTGGGTTTTTCGGTTTTCTTTGACTTTGGCAAAACTGGCAGGGGGTTAATATTCGGGGTTTCCCGGTATGTACCGAAAACACGGGACCCCAGTTAAAGGGGCCCTTCAACTACTTTTGACTGGTTTTTAATTTGCACCGAACCTGAGCACACTGACGTAGTAACTTAATGAAACTTTGCTTTTCTCGAACTTCACTTTATTTTAAAATTTATAGGCAAATTAAAATTACAAAAACAAGCAAAAAATAACCTTCATGACGTCCTTAGTCCTGGCTTGAGTGGCCGTGAACTAGAGGAGGGGTAGTGAGCTCAGCGAGCGCTCACGGCTGCCGCACTCCGTGTTGACAACTCGAGAAGGCGGCTCGCATTGCATTTGCTGCGCGATTAAACACTAATTCGGCATGGGACTTCATTGGCCACAAACGACAGCAAACACGGGATAAAGATCAGTTCAGAACGGGAGCCACTTCGCGCTGCCAAATAGTCAAACCGCAAGCCAAAGCTGCTCGCCGAAGGCCTTCGGAACGCTCGAAACTGGTCGGATCTTCCAGCCCATATGACCGCAGCGCTGCCACATACATTCTGGACCTTTCTACGCTCACCGTTGTCGGTGCCTGATCACACTATACCTTTCTAGTATGCCTGGCCTTTTCCACCGCTTGGTGGCATACATGTATATGTCGACGGTACATTTCTTGTTTCCGTACTTTGTTTCTTTTCTCATCTAAAATACTGAACAAAAACTTTTCATAAATAATTGAAACGGTTCGCACCACTTATATTTTGTATTTCGACTGAAAAGAACCTTTTTGCGGCTCTGACCAGTGGTAAGCCCAGGACCAAAGACGTCACATATCGCGCTCTTTCAGCACCGCGGGTCACCCCCGTAGGTGGAGGAGGTTTCCACGTCTTCCGGTTAAAATATGTCGCACTGATATTTAGTTACTCTCTCCGTGCCCGCTGGCTTGCCCGAACCCCAAGAGACGTGGAAACCACACAAAAGGTAGGTTCTTAAATATGATTGCAGGGCCCCTTAAGACCCTGTTTTGTTCACTTTCTAAATGAGGTCCAAAGCTGTCAGTTTCTTTATTCAACTTTAAGCTTTAACGCTAGCTGTCCGGTTGACTTCGAGGTACCGTGTTAGCATAGATTTTTTCCAGTGGGCAATGAACCCTGCAATTTGAAGAAGGCAGATTGTAGCAGGCTCTGTGTAGCAAGGTCTTGAGGCACGTTGAAGTTGTCCAAGTGGCAGATATCAATCTTAAGTTTTTTTTACTAAAACTTGCATTTTCTTTTTTTACTGAAAGCTTTAAAGTTTTTTTTTTTTTTTTTTTTTTAATTGTGTAGCTTTTGCAATGGGCTCGTAAGTTTTACTACCCTATTGTCTAAAACTCGATACTGTGGTGAAGGGAAAAAACTAAAAAACTCGTGTCGAAAAAAAAAGACCCGGGAGAAGAGGCCGTTGGAACGGGCCTTCTTCATGGAAAGATGAATACGCTTAGCTATCCCCAGCTTCCCTGCACGCTCACTGTCTTTTTGTTCACTTCTACCTGTCTTATTTACCCAACCGAGGGGTGTTAATTGACAGTTATATCCGACTGCATGCAAGAAAGATTGCGGGTTGGGATTGTGCACGTGCAAAACACTAGAGAAATGCTAACGTATTTGGTATGCCTTGCGAGAAGTTCTTGAGAGATCTTGGGCCCAGGGGGAGCACCAGTTTCCTGATGGTGGCTGCCACGATAAGCAGCAAGGGCAACGTGGTGCTTGCATTGACTTCACAATCGCCTGTAATTTGACTGTCCTACATGAAGCTCGGCTTGGGGATGATTTCCGGGACCTATCTTATTTAGACCAGATTGCCGTACAGCTGCAGGAATGCACAGTAAAAGTGTTTGCCCCCCACAATGTGTGTGTGACCACTGTAATCCACACACTTTGTCGTTAACCACCAGACGACGCTTATGAAAACTGGCAAAGTTGTTGCTCTGCTCTGAACAGCAGTAGCGATCGCACAGCATGATTCACGGAGGTATCGTGGTCGAATTTTGCTGCCCACTTGTTCTATCATATTCACAGCCTCCATATCCTGCAGAAAAGTGTGGTTGGCCAGGCAGCTGAGGCTTGTCTTAGTTTAAGCTAAAACTGATTACTGTAGAATTCCTTGCATCCGCACTAAGCGCCCATCCCCAAAATTTGAAACTTCTGAAAAAATATGCACAGTACATATATATATAAAATTGATGACCTCACATGCGCCCATCCCCTATTTTTTCGCGATTATCTTCAAATTTTGAGTGGGCGCTTGCTCGGTATTTTACAATAGACATTTCCATTTTTAATATTTCTTCTGAGGGCTTCAGTGGCACTGGAAGCATGCGGAATTAAGGCAGCAAGAGTGCGCAGGAGCTACTCTCTGTTATACTTATGGAGCGGACAACCGGGATCATTCTGAGCAGGTGGTTTTTACCGTATGTTATACTCGCATATTCCTTACACAGGAGCCAGCAATGCAATACTAAAGCTGTTTAATGTTCAGGCACCCCTCCCTGTTATCCTTTCTGATGGTTGTTCTTCTAATGGCCACCTTGCATTGCATTTGCTGCACCTACCGAATGAGCAGTGTGTGGGGTTGAAGATGTAGCTACCATTTGACAGGCACATGGATGTTTGCTTGTTCATCAATCTTGTCAGTTTTTGAAGGGGTACTACTTTGGGATAATTGTTTCCCTAACTATGTAGGCAAGTATAAGGGTCAGAGCCCACACATGGGGGAACTTGCAAACTCTTGGATTGCACCGCTCAAGAAATAGAAATAAAAAAGGAAAAAGCTATGCGAGAATGTACTTTGTCACAAACATTGGTAGATCCCAGCGGGAGGTTTCATAATGCATGATTTTATAACCTTCAAAAAACCAAAAACACGTTGATTTAGAGAAACTTTGAGCATATATTGTCAAGAAGTGATTCCCCGTGACTCCCAAACACTTTGACGTCCTGGTCCCCTGTGCCATTCCTCGGGTTTTTAGTCAGACTTTGTTTTTCCTTCTCAAAAAACAAACAACTCTGCAGTGAAAAAAAAAAAAGGGTAGTGTTTTGGCATTATAATGTAGTCTGAAATGCGGAAGCGGATTTTCTTTAAATGCTTAGTCTTGGGAAAATTGCATGAGCACTTTAGGGCAACGGGTGCCCACTGGCCAATCCTCTAAAGGGCGGGTCATTATGTTTGCATGCGAGCGTGAAGGGCGATTCACACACTTGCATCGAGTCCAACCTAGTGCGACTGCAACGGCTTGTGACGTATGGTTTGCCATGGCAACAGCTCCGTGGGCTCCAACAAAACAGGTTTTGACCCCGTTCTGTTAGAGGCGACGCAGCTGTTGCCATAGCAACCCGTATGTCGCAAGCCGTTGCAGTCGCACTAGGTCGGACTCACGCAAGTGTGTGAATCGCCCTTGGCCGTCTGCGTTACGACTGCTTACGACGAGAGCACATTGGTGACATCTGGCGGTTAACCCTGACCCACTTAAGGCTTGCATATATTTACTCATTTTTGTTTTACGGATCATTCTGTTACCACAGGCTAAAAATAATTCTGACAGTGTTATAAGCGATCACTTCCGATGGATTGTGTGTAGATTTGACCTCGCAAAAAGTGCAAAAACCTTGGGTCTAGTCTTATGCAGTTCTATACCCCGTTTCAGCTTCCGTCCGAGCGCGGCCGATGTTATGAGCCAAAGGGCCAATCAAACAGCGCAAAAAGCACAGCGTCATGGCGTGCTCCCTGTGCTTGATAGGACTAGCCGGCGGAGGAGCACACACAGAGACACGGGGAATACCGGCCGGTCCTATCAACTGCAGAGAGCACGCCATGACGTTGTGCCTGTTTCGCTGTCTGATTGGCCCTTCGGCTCATAACATCGGCCGCGCTCGGACCGAAGCTGAAACGAAGTATAGGGATACCCAACAGATGGTACCAGCATGTGTCGCGAGTGGTTCCAAGTGAGCACACAGCACTCGATCGTGCACAAACGCAACTGTGGGAACCAATCTCCCGTCGTAACCAACGCTCTACTCGGTTGCCTCGTCTGTAGGAGGCCGCGGCGGACGTCGACTCGGACGGGCCAAAAGCGGTTGCAGTGGCGGACGCGTCCTCGGACTCCGACTCGGACCTGCCACTGGTCAAGAGCAGCCGTCGGTCAACCCCCCGCCTCGGGGCCACGGGGGGTTCCCCCTCGGGGGCTCTGGACCTGGGGGCCCAGCTGAAAGGCAAGCTGCAGGGCAAGCTGCAGAGCAAGCTGGGCAGCACTCCCAAGGGCCTGGCGCTGCTGAGCTGCCAGCGGTGCGGCCTGAGCTTCGACCCCAAGCGGGACGGCCCTCGCTGCAAGCACTGCACCCGGGAGGACGACGAGGAGTCCAGCGAGGACGAGGACAAGGCAAGTGGGGCTGCCGCTCGCAGTTGGCAGGAGGAGCTGTACGGCTGCCCTCTCGGGGGTGCCGAGCCCTTCCGCCTGGGGGGACTCTTCTCCTTCACGGCCGGCCTCTTTGCCGGAGCCTCGCCGCCCATTAACGCCGAGTGAGGACGCGCTGCTGTCCGACGAAGGACGCCACCCCACAGGGGTCTGCCCCCGTGCGGAATCCCGATCGGCAGACGGCTCGCCTACCCATGTGGGAGGTGTTGGGTCGTTCGCTCGGCCTCTCGGACTGTTTGTTTTCTTTCTCATTCTCATTTCGTGTCTGTGCAATTTTCTTACGTGCAAACGTTGCGACGAAGAGCCTATATTCGCGGCGAGGCTCTTCGTCGCGGCCTTTCTGCGCGAGGATGTTGGGTGGTCCCGCGCTTGGGCACCTGCGCTGCTCTTGCGGACACGGTTCTACGGGTTTTAGTTTTTCTTCTCGGTCAGGGTTGTTGCAGTTTGACGGCGGCTGGGTGTGCCTTTGTGGCGACGGCCTTTTGACCGTGCACATCGAAAGAGTGAGCGTTTTGATGCCTGGGAGGTGGGTCGGACACATCCTACCAAATGACCAAAAGAATGCATTCCCTCGTTACCGCTTAGCGTACTGACGCCATCTGTTGGGTAGTCCCAGAACAATTTCGACCCGTATGTAACTATATCGAATGTATTCAGTATTTGCTGGATCAAACATACCCATCGTCTACAAGAAATAGTCGCCTATAACGTTGTCCTAATTATTTCAAACCAACGGGAAAAGAATGATGCCTAAAAAATTGTAAAAACCTATATGCAGGTGGGAAACGTTCTGGGGCTACTGGTGTGAACCACACACCCGTTCATAGTCAAACGCCTGTGTGTAAACCAGCTTTGAGGTTTGCTGATGTGGCACCATTACGCTATGTGCCAACTTACCTGAGCCTGTGCACTCAAGCTGGCCACTGTGTACCTGCTCGTATCTGTTATATTGTTGAGTGTGTTCCAGACTGTTTTCTACTTGTTTCATGCATGCATTGTTTGTGGGGGGGGTCACTCAATTTAAATGTGGTCTGTTCTTTCAGTTGCATTGCTCCCTAAGCTAGTCTGGAACAATTAAATTCCCATGTTCACACTTTCTTTTTTTTTTGCCAAAGACGGTACAGTTGCAATATTTACTTTTGCCCCGTTAGAGTCTATGTTTGGTACCTGTCAAAAATAGGGGTTATGTGTCTCGAACCCTGGTTTCAAGTTTGCTAGTCGCCGGCTATAATCCGTTGCAACTTAAGAAGGTAGGGCAAGGGTAAAACAAGCCGGGGAGGAGGAGGCAGGCGAAACGCTAAAGAGGGAAGGAGATTTCCCCCTCTCTTCTCCAGTGTTCCGACTGCTTCCTCCTCCCCAGCCCGTCTTACCCTCGCCCTACCTTCTGCAGTTGCAACGGACTGTAGTGTGGCACATCAATGAATGCGAGTATATGAGCTTATGCAAAGAAATGGAGACATATTTTCGAAGTTGAAGCTTTAACCGTATGTTTATCGAGAAGAACTGTCGGGGACACTGGAGCCACCGAATTACTAGCTTTCACGATGGGTGCTACGTCTGCCATCTTGTGTTCTGAACTATCTGCAAATACATGCGAATGAATAGCACCTGCTGCCAATCTTAAATGCTATCCCCTAATTGATAGTTTCGAAATATTTCTTCCAACCTTTCAGGAAAGTAATGTCTTCATCGTCTTACCCAGTTAACCATACACGTCACATTCCAGCAGAGTCCAAGCTCTTGTGATGAATCAACAGTTCCTTTACATTGTGGAGAGCACACTATTCGCTTTGCTGGCAATTCTTTGTATTGCTAATTCTGTCAGAGGTCTTTGTATCGCTAATTGTGTCAAGTTACACAAGAATGGGGGCGGTCTGTATCTAGCTGTAATGGCTTGGTATAGCTGACTGCCCTGGTCATTGTAACGTTTCACTTTCATGGTGAAAGAAGATTTTAAGGACTATGTCAAATGTGCAGTGTTTTTGCGAAATAGCTTTTGTGAGCCACAGAGGCGGCGGTGTGAGACTTTCCAAATGTCATTGGTGACAATGCCCTGGCAGCATTACTCACTCATTTGTACCAGAAATTGTGCCATGTGAAATGGCCTTCATGTTTTGAAACATAGTCAGTAATTAGTACATTGTTCAGCAAGCAATGTCATACAGTAGTCTTGTGTTAGTTGAAGTGTTTCATTGAATGAAGACAATGAGGTCTGAGGGCTGACTGCAAGCAATTGTACAAATTGTGTGGTGATAGTGCCTTTGTGCATGTTGTTCTAAGTCATTGTTGTGATGGCATAAACCATTTTGCACGCGATTGTGGATGACACTATAGCTATTTCTGTCAGCAGAAGCATCGACACCAAGTCTTCCACGCACCGTCTGTTGTTTTTCTTGGAGAGATGTACCGTATGAAGCATATAGGCAAATAATTCGATTCACGAATCGAATGCGCTGGCTGCGTCCAGTGCTTCAGGGCAATCGCACAATTGGCTCCCGATTTTTTTAAATATATTTTTGTGCCTACTTACGCTTAAGGAGGGGTGTGCAAATATTGGAGCGCTCAGTGTGGGGATGCTCGAGTGATTCGATTCGCGAACGGAATATTTGCTGCTGAAGAATGTCAGTGTTGGACAGGTTAGGAGTAATACTACTTGACCTGCCTTAAGTTGTTTTTTTTGTTTTTTTTTTTGTGGGGGGGGGGGGGGGATTCTAAATGTTGGCACTGTGCACTTTAATCTCGGCTTTAGAACGGCCTTATTTCATAAAACAATTTCTCTGTTCAACTTCTGGATCTTTGGTAGATACAAATGTGGGAGTTGCCATTATTTCATCATATTTATTGGGTTTATTTTTGAGTTACGGTGCAACTGCAAATAAATCATTGAGCTTTGTACATTTGGTTTGCGTGCCATATCTGTGTTGGTTCCTCCAAGAAGTGAAGAAAGCATATCGAGGAGTCACTATATTAAAGGTATAAACATTTCAACAATGGGCAGACTGCACCCTTGGTGAGACATGAGGCACCACGAAATCATAGCGCAACTGGGTCACGGGGAGCTTTTCTTCAAGATACCAAAAGTGCCAGCACCAGTGAAATGTGTACCGGAGGCAAAATCAGAGACCAGGGAACTCTTTCTCTGCTGAGGACCGCACAGCCAAGTGGAGCCAGTGTTCTTAAAAAAATGGGGTACGTCCTGCCATAATTATGCTTCTTATATTAGATTCATATAAGCATTGCAGTTGGATTACATCTGCTCTAACTGTAGGGCTGTGGTCAGCCAGTATTTGCACACCCCTGATGCAGTGATGTTCTTTTGTCTTTGTATACTTCGTTTCACCCTATGTCCAGATGCAGCACATGCTACGCACTGATGGACCAGTCGGGCAGTGCCAAATGTGCACCATCATGGTGTTCGTCATGTTTCTGATTGTGTTCTATCATAGCTGAACCAATCATAAACAGAAAAGGTCCAGTGACTCGCGATTTGGCGCTGCGTGATTAGTCCCTTTTCCTCGTAGCATCGCCTGCGTCTGGACTTGTGATGAAATGAAGTATAGCTAGCTTTGTCCCAAAGCTAGCTACTGTCAAGCACTGCTTAATAATGTGTTCATACTAATTTTGATGATGCTGAGACCTGCCATGTCACTTAGCAACAAAGAGCTTACAGGTTTCTGTCCATATTGCGCGGGACTTTCCTTTTCCTCAAATTTCTGCAGGAGTACAAAATTCCGCAAAATTGCGTGTTCTGAAGGGGGAAAAAAAAGGCGAATGTTTGTTGTTTGAAATTTTTTATGGTGCAGATCAAGATGCGATTTGACGCGATGGACTCGAAACTGAAAGGAAAAAATTAGCTGAGAAAGGGGCAACCAAAAATGTAAACTGTTGCATTTTCTTTTTTTTCCCTTTTCTCCCTCTGTGCTGTTTTTTTTTTTTTTTTGTGCAGTTGTGGAAGGAGTTAACTGCATTGCTTCCAAAAGGTGTATTGTCTTATTTCTGGCCTTATTTTCTAAGTAGCATTGCCGACAGGCAGGCAGTTGCCAGGCACATTAAAAGCCTGGTTAACCACCTCCTCCTACAGAGAAGTTGTCTAGGTTTTGTGTCTTCAGATGCAGCTTCTGAAGTGAGAGCGGGCCACTTCAGATGCAGCTATTACCTCCGTGCCACAAATGCTGGCTCACCCAAATCTTTCCACTTTAAACGCAGTGTTTTTCCAAGTGCTAGTCAGGTGTAAAAAAAATCGGATAACTACGAACGAAGTGCAGTGGAACTTTCCACATTTAGGTCGAGCATTTGTCAAACTTAAATTTCTTAAATGTCAGTTTCTGGAGAGAAAAAAGATTCGAGTAAAAGAAAAGTTATATTTCTACACTCGGGGAGGAAGATGGAAACAAGCTGTCCGTGGTTGACGCTGCTACTCACAGGTGGCACAACGTGGAACAAAGTTTTGACACCCAAGAGCAGATTTATCTGAATTCTGTATTAGCGAAATAAATGCACCACCTAAAGACTCCCTTGTGAAGAGTTTCATTGCTCTCTTTTCATTGGCCTATTTATACATTCCTTTTTTTTTTACACCTGAATAGTGCTCGGGAACACCCTGTAGATTTAGCTTGTGTCGTGTAGAGCATAGTTTTGTGTGGCACCTGCTTTCAGCGTCGGCCTTTGCTCTTACATTTCCTGCACAGCTATGCTCGTTTGCCCTTCCCCATTTGCAAAGAGGTGTCTGCGAGCGCGAGGCCATACATTTTGGGCGTGCCTCGTTTTTTCAAGAACTTCAGAAGCTTTCGAAGGTTGCTACAAAGCCACCTTTAAAATCCACAACCTTGCTTGTCGTAGGCTTGTGGATTTTATGCTGCAAGGAGAAAGCGCAGACGGTTTCCAAAACATGTCTAGGAAGTTTCTGTGCACCTGTCTCGGATGTTTTCCAAGCTTGCAGCAGCAGACAGTCGAAGGAAAGCAGGTTGATAGCAAATTTGGCCCCATCTTTTAGCTCTCGATAAAGGCCTGAAGCTTTTTTGTAGTAGGAGTATGATACTCCTACTACAGTGGTAGGGGCTCGCTCTGCATTTCATTATTCGGCTTGTCTGAAATGCTGACCTTCCCCTTTTTATTTTTGTGGCTCTGCAGCTGGAACCATGCAACATTTAGAAGGAATGTTCTAGGTGCGGTCTGCCTTTTACAGCCATTATTTCCATTTTGTTTTTTTATTTTATAGAGTTTTCCGGTCTTGTTTGTATTTACCCCTTCCCATTCCTCCTCCTGAGCAGAGCTTATCCTCCCCATCTGTGCTGTTGTGCAATTTGTCTAGCCATTCTCTTGTGAGGGGTGCCTGGAGCACTGCCGAGTCCCAAACAGTCGGTCTGTCTGTCCCTGTACGAAAGCTGTCACATAGAGCACACGCTTGCGAGGTATGTCGACTGCAAACCTCTCAGGCCCTGTGCTTTCCCCACTGTGTTCCACCAAACCCATCTTTCTGCCACGCACTGTCGGTTGTCTTTGTCTCCTGTTCCTGTTGCCCACTGCTGTTTGTTATTGCACCTTGTCGAGGACCTGTCTAGACCTTCGTTCGAAGCACTCTGCTGAACTCTGAACTCTGTTTCTGCTAGTATTTTTGGAGCTGTATGAGCCACACTGTAAAAGGATTACCTAGGCTATAGTATCTGGCATTTCCAGTGCGAATTGGCAGTTGCCACGCATAATTGCTCTAATGACATGTGGCCAAGCATCTATCGAAAATTTATTACTAAAGATAAAATGATGCGCGGCAAAAGTTTTCATGTGTTAGACGGCAGCGATGGACTCCTTGGCAAGGGAGTCTATCCTTCATGGTTTATGGTGCAGGACGTGCATCTAAAGTTATCAAACTGAACGCGATTTTATATCGATCGAGTTAGATCTAGATCGGTGGCTCTTAAATGGGGGTCCTTGAAGGATTTCTGGGGGCCCCCAAAACCCTTGAACGTCAGTGGAGCCGAGCAATTAAACTTTTCTTTTATTTGTGCTGGCTGTCCCACAAAGCTAAATAAACTAAATCATGTGCGCCAAGTGAGTACAGTCGATTATCTTCCCTTTTAGAGCTTCAAAGTTGGTTTGCACATGTTTAGTGTTTTTTCATTTACCCTTTTGTCATTGTAGTAATCTAATAACCCCCCTCTTGCCGGGGGCATGGGGTTCCCCAATCCCTTTTGCCGACCAAGGGAGGGGTCCTCAAAGCATCGGCGCTTCAGAGCCACCGATCTAGACATTGGACAAGATGCCCCAAACTTATCGCTTGCTCCCACAAATTCGTTGAACCGAAAGTATGGCTCGGTCGCACAATATGCCGTTCGATTGATCGCTGCTCGGATGCAAGTGCCACTCTCCCGCGTGCAAATTCCGCATTGCCGCTTCTCTGCAACTCGTGTATGGTCGAACGTCGCCATCGGTACGGTTCCCGGAGCCCGTCTCCGACCGGCGTCTTTACCGCATCCTTGCAGGCAGTTCCTCGATTTCCGGCCGAAAACGGTAAACGCACCAGAGGCGCATTCCAGGCACCGTACCGGCGGTGCATGACGTTTTGTTTTGCGACAAAGTTACCCGCCCCGCCCGTCGCTGACACTGTTTTTGCCTTGCCCACGTTAGGACGCTCGGGAGACAGAAGTCAGCCCCCGCGAGAACGGCGACGCCGGCAAAGAGAATGTCCCGGGTGACGGCAACGCAGCCGGCACGAGCCGGGACACGGACGTGAAGGTCCCCATCCAGAACATCCGGGTGGTCAAGGAGCTGGTCAGGGCCGCGGCGGCGGAGCAGCGGCAGCAGAAGAGGAAGAGGAAGGCTGCCGTGCCCGTGGCGGCGGCGGCGGGGGCCTCCGTGAACAAGGATCTGGAGTGCCCGGTGTGCGGCAAGCAGTTCACAAAGAAGTACTACCTTCAGCGCCACCTGCAGATGACGTCGTGTTCCGGGGGACCGCCCCCAGCACATCCCTGCGAAGTGTGCGGCAAGATCTACTCGCGGAAGGTGAGCTTGCTTTGCTGAAGCATTGCTCCAGCAACCTTCGAGGGGGGGTTGCACGGCACGTGAAGATTGGTAGTTTCTCGTGTCGATAGGGAGAAACGCCATAGCAACTTGCTCGTTTCACGTTACAAATACCAGGAACTAAAGAACCAGAAAGATTGAACATTGTGCAGAAAGGTGAACGCTTCTCAGCCTGCCCATCTTCGCTTTGTTTCTTGTGCCTTGTTTGAACTTGCAGCGTTTCTCTTTGAGATGGTCTCAATCGGGATTTCGCATCGCCATTTAATGGCGCCTCTCCGGTTGTAAGGAAGACGTACCACTTAAATTTGCGGTCTCGTCTTTTGGACTTTGGGTGTGTTTTGTTGCCTCATAGTGAATGAGCAGAATTAATTTGGAACAGCTCAGATTTCAGCTTGCGCAACTGCTTTTGGAAGACATTCCTGGGGAATTTGTTTGCTTCTGAGGTTGCTGACAGAAATATAATAGGAGGGCATGTATTTCGAACGCCCGCCTTTGGCACGCGTTCGAACGCGTGGCCTTTGGCACGCGTGGCCTTTGGCACGCCTTCTGTTGTGCACTGGCCGAGCGTGCATCGTTTTCGCAGGCGGAAAGCTCGTGCCGAAGCTCGTCGCTGCCCTTCTCACCAGTGTTGTGGAGTTGCCACTCCGGAGTTTGAATGATTCCGGAATTATTTCGAATTTTCGCAACCCCGGAATGGATTGAGAATGGAATGGTCTCAACGTTGAGGGGAATGGAATGGGAATGTAATTAGATGCCTTTTGCTCGTAATAGAATGGGAATAGAATAAGCCCAGTTCTTTTTTTTTTGTGTGTGTGTGTTTATGGTCAGCGACACCGAGCCAGTCAGCGAGCCAGTTGAAATAAAATGAGTAGGCGGGAGATTGCTAACCCGTGTGGAGCTCTAACAGACTTATACGCAAAAAGTGCAATACAAAAACATGCGTCAAAGCAAAGAGCAGAGGGGGAAGGGGGGGTGGCGGTGGCGCCTTTCGCGCAGGCGACAGGCTTTACTGGCATTACACGAGAGCGAGCGAAATAAGAAACCAAGCACCAAGCAAAAGAAACGAAGGGAGCGGCAAAGAAAGTAACTGCTGTGCGGTTCCTCATCCTCCTTGTGTGTGTTTTTTTTTTTTTTTTTTGCAACGCCATGGAGAATACACGCGCGCACAGACTGTGATCTGGGAGCTGGGGCAACACAAAACTCGCAAAGCTCTGATAACTCGTCGACTCGCGCGCCGCCCAAAGGTGATCAGTTATTCTTTTCTTATAGTTCGAGGAGTGTTGTTTAACAGGTGGCCAATTCTGCTGCCTTGTACATTCATTCGCGCGCATTCTTTTGAAGGGTAAAATTTGGGTTTGCTTCGGCATTAAAACAACGCGAGATTCACTTCTCTCTTCTTTTCTACGTTTTTCCATACTTCATTTTTACTTGTAAGTCCGCCTTTTACTTGGTCCTTGTTCCGATGCTTGTTTTCTGTGTTATGTTTTACATCTAAGTGGGTTAGAGTTACAAGCAAGCTAGCGGATTCCTGCTCATTTCCTTTGACTTTAGTCTCTGCATACTTCGTTTCACCTTGCGATGAACCGCTGCGAACGCTACGAGTCACCACAGGCAATCCGGCAGCTTGAGTGGGACTACAGGCACGGCGCGCTGCTGCGCCCCAAGGTCACGCGACAATCACAAGGCACTGGATTGGTTTCGATGGCTCTGGTGCTGTATGTTGCGGTCCATCGTGAGGTGAAGTAGATTGTCGTCACCGCTCTTGTCGCGTCACAGAACTGACTAGACCTGCAGAAAGACAGTTTCATGCCATGATCTATGCACTCCTTCGTGCTGTGCTGTAAAGGTTGTCAGAGGATATCTTCTTGCCGCTGTGCATAGAGTCACTTTCACCAGCGTACTAGCCGTATTGCTGTGCAGGTATTTGAAGAATACAATAATATAGCTTATTTCCACGCTACACACAAACTGGATATTTTTATGGTCTTATCAAGCAAACCATGCTGGGCCGCGTATGTCCTAAAAGTCAAATGCAAAAAAGTTTGCAAAAAAAGTAGGGGATGCAAGTTTTGTTGTTTGTTGCGCGCCATGTGGTCGAAAGACCGATGTCTTAAACAAGCATTGCCATATGAAGGAACCTTCTCGATGTTTGCAGTACAATGCAATAGAGTTGTGCGAATATTCGAAATTTCGAATAGTAGTTCCGAATAATACACTATTCGATATTCGCTTCGAGAAGAACTGCACTATTCGCGTTTTTCGAAGTGTGGATCGTGGTGAAAGGAGGAATTGAATTATCGAAAACTAATTCCCCGGAATGGAATTGGAATGGAATGGGGGTGCCCATTCCGCAACACTGATTTGCACCGACCTGTGCCAATTAGTTTCTGCTATGCACATAAAGAAGATTCCCAGCCCCTCGCTGCATCCCTCAAATGGACTGCTGTAATGGCCAAGACGCTGCACACTGACGCAGACGGTTGCACTTCTGCGTTTAAATTTTAGTGGGGGTGTCCGCGCGACGCTGTGACTTTGCAAAGATGCCTTGATGTCATGTGGCGCACAATGTATAGACACTGCGTTTCCCCGCTAAATTTAGCCGAGGTATCGTCGAGTCAAAACATTCAGACTTTTTGCTCCTGCAACCTACATCAGCGTCAGTTGTAAGATAAAAAATCTCGATCAATCGATTGATTTAGGTTTGCCAAAATTTGCGGACCAGGGCGTGCATACATCCGCGGGAAGAGTGAGGCGTTGCCCGTGCAGGACAACCTGCGGGAGCACCTGCGGGCCCACGCAGGGGAGGTGACGCGGCGCAAGAAGTACAAGTGCGACCACTGCGGCAAGACGTTCCACGGCATCTCGCTGCTCAAGATCCACATCCGCACCCACACTGGGGAGCGGCCCTTCAGCTGCGACTTCTGCTCCAAGGGCTTCCCCTCTGTCACAGCCCTGAACAAGCACCGGCGCATCCACACCGGGGAGAAGCCCTACTCCTGCGCTGAGTGCGGCATGAGGTGCGTCCCCCTGCCGCTCGTCAAGGTTGTTGCTCTCTTTAACTCCTTGCCTGCTAATAAAGAGTGTCACTCTTCATTCTTACAGAGCGTAGACAGGCCAGGAGTGTCACTCGTGTTTTGGTTTTGGCGCTCGTTTAACGCACTCTCCCACAAATGGCAAATCTACCCCTGATGCTCCATTAACTTCGGGTTGTTTGCTTGTTCGTTCTGCTCTTTGAAGCAGAAAAAACGCTCCACTCAACCAAGAAAAAAAAATCTTTGCTCGTAAGCGTTCCAACTAAAATGATGTGGCTCTGGCGCAGAGGTCGGTTTAGCCGAGGAACAGACACAAAACCTATTTTTTTTCTTTTAAGTGATTAATGCTCCATCCAGCATATGCAACGACGAATCCCTCAGCCTTTCCGATTTTTTCAGAATCGGATGATACTTTAATGGACAGTGATGGGAACAATGAAAACGGCGCAAATCCTGCTACCATTTGAACAACTTCAGCGTCTGCATGTCAGTGGGACTAGGATCAGAAGTCCTAATTTAGAGCAAGATATCGCACCTGGAAATCGAGAAAATGTTTGGTCTTAGTTTAATGCAAATTGCCCGCTTAAAATTAAAAATTTGCTGTACATTCCATGAAGAAACAAATAAGTAGGCAAGGGGTTAAGGGAAAAGGCAGACGCATACTTTGAATATTTAGAAACGCTGGGAAAGTTACGCTTGTTTGTAAATTTGAGAATGCATAAATGTGCCACGTGAGTGCTGGATAAGACAGTTGCATGGCTGTACCTGGATACCTGTGCTGGAGGCCATTCATTGACCTCTTGTTATGACACTGTATCAAGATCTCGTAAGACATATCAAGTTAGTCCAAATGAATGCTCAGCACTTTGCTGCTGCAGTCATTTAGGTGGTTCTTTTTATTGAAAATAATGATTTGCTCATTTCTTTAGCTGGAATATGGGTTGTCGTCTTAGTGAGGGATCACACAGAGTAATTGCATAGAGTAAACTTCTGCAATCTGTGAAATTAGTCCAGCAAATTAGAAGGGCCAGAAAACTGGACCTTAAAAAACTACCCGAGTTGATATTATGAGAAAAAAAGATAACAAGCACTGGGGCCGTAACGGCCCCAGTTCTTGTTGCAGTTTTTCCTTTAATGGTTTCTCTGCTTCTTTATTTACCAGGCTTATTCTGTAGATGCAGTGATTGGCTCAGTGCAGGCCTTCTGGAAATATGTATTTTGCAAAGTCCCTTGTAAAACATTTTACCCTTGTCTGACAGCACAGTACCCTTTTTCGTGAAACCTTAAAGGGGCGGTGCAACAATATTAATTTGGAATATTTTTCACTTTACACGAGCTTACTGGCGGTAGTGGGACTCAAGAATACTCGCACGCAACGCCACTGACCAAGAAACTTCTTTGTTGCGCTGTAATTTTGAGGACAAAACCGAGTGTTTTCATTCAATCTCTCCTTCGCAAAACCTGATGATGTAGCTCAGCGGTAGCAGTACCGCCCAGTGACGATATATGAATGCGGCTCATAGATTGGACCCGAGCATGGCGTGGACGCTCGATTTGGGCTCGTGATAATCGATAGCTCGAGAATCATTCGGGCAGTGTCCTGTGTCCAATCGCTGCAATGACGGCAACAACTGAACCATAACAATGTCTAGAACTCAGCGCGTGTCTTGTGCCTTGCCAACCCCAGCGCGAGGCTATGATCAACACTGGCGGCATATAATCGGCTCCCGATCACGTGGCCGCTTGTTCTGGCTGCGAGTTAAGGGGGTGAACTCTGCTCGTTTTTCTTAATTTTTTTCTGAGACTTCGATTGCGTGTGGTGAAAAACGAACAGGTATTTCACAGGTCATTAGCGTCAGGGATCCGTTCTAAGCGGTATTTGCGCAAAATACCAAAATCATTGCATCGCCCCTTTAATATGTCCCCTTAGCCTGTGCTTTCAGATAAAGGAAACAGTAGAGAGTGGTCAGGTGCTCGTTTCGTGTTATGGTATTCCAACCAAGAACCTAGTTTACTTGAAATGGAGAAGGAATAGAGAGAGGAACCGGGGAGGAGAGGGGAAAAATAGAAACTGAGAAGGGAGCATTAGGAGGACGACCGAGGAAGGGGAAGCCCAGGGGGCGAACGTCTGGCTGAGTAGCAGCGTTGTGCCGTGTGTGGACTTTCAGGTTCTCGCTGAAGGGCACCCTCAACCGGCACACGCGCATCCACACGGGGATCCGTCCCCACAAATGCCCCTACTGCGGCAAGGAGTTCATCCAGGGCGGAGGACTCAAGGCCCACCTGTTCCACCATACGGGCATGAACGGGTTCAAGTGCTCGGTCTGCGACAAGGTGCGCCTCTTCGTTCGTTTCAGTTGCGGGGTTATGCGAGCAGCCTCTGTTTCCTTGGCATGCTGTCTTTGCCATCGGCAAAACACTGTTGCCTTTCGGTGAATGTGCCTCCTAAGGTTCTATTTACTGGCCGCTGTGGCAGTGTGGATTGGAAAATGTTTTTTTAGAAAGCTGAATATTTTCTTTGTTACACCCTGTCATCAACTCTTTCCCACTTGTTACGTGACGGCAAAGGACCTCACTTGTACCTGCTTTTTACGAAGAGATGAGCCCAGATGTAACTGCGACCGTGCGACTTCCAGGCATCTTTCTACATGAGTGTGCAGCCATCGTCACGGCGAGACCGGGATGCTAGCTTGACCCTACTCTTTTCTTTATATCGACCAGGAGACAGCTTGGTCTCATACCTGTCTTTCTGGTTTTAATGAAAACTGGGACTTTTTGTACTGAGCTTTTTGGATACCATGTGCACTTGAACCTGGATATAAACCAGCTTTGCTTGTCTTTTGCCAGTTTTACCTGCAGTGTAAACGGTATTTTGAGAAGCCTAATCTTCATTTAGTCACTGTATCATATTTGAATTCCACCATCCCTGCTATCCTATCTTTCTAGAGTGCAGCTCTACGGTGCCCGTTTCAGGCTTGAGCGGCGTCGCCGTCAATGTAGCCACGCGGTGCATTATGAGACGCGTGACGTCACTGATGACGTCATCAGTGACGATGACGAGGACGTCGTCACGATGACGATGACGTCATCGTCACATTACCTCACAGAGGTCACGTTACCCCCATGAGGTCACGGGACGCTCGTGAGGTGACGCCGCTTGGAGGGAGGAGTAGCAGAAAGGGTGAGGAGGAGGGAGGAGGGGTATACCTTCCCCTTAGTACCCTTCCCCTCCTCCTCAAGAGCTGCACTCTAATTCGGCGTAACAGGGAGTTGTAAACAGCTTTCATTTTTAGCTTTGGTCATTTGTTTTAACAAATTCACTTTATTGTTGCCGCAGGTACTCTTTGAGTGCTATGCTTCATTGTGTTGTCGTTATTTTCCGAAAAGAATCGCTTCTGCCAGTAAAAAAAGACACGGGAATGTGCTTCAGGATTGTCGCTGAGGATAGGAGTTTAAAAATGGCGTACACTGGATTCAAGCCTCTCCGAGCCACTTTTTTCTTGTGCATTGAGCCGTGTTGCATACTTTTGTGACCATCCGCCCGCAGGTGTTCAACCGCAAGGCCCGGCTAGACCTGCACATGAAGTACCTGCACCTGAAGCTCAAGCCGCACGTGTGCGGCGAGTGCGGCAAGGGCTTCACGCGTCGGGAAGACCTGACTCGCCACTCTGTGCTGCACACGGGAGAGAAGCCGTACCAGTGCCCGACGTGCCACAAGCGCTTCGCCATCAAGCCCTCGCTCAAGATCCACATGGTGACGCACACCAAGGAGGAGCCCCGGTCGTGCCACGAGTGCGGGCGGGCCTTCATCCGCAAGGACTGCCTGATGCGGCACATGCGGAAGCGCCACCGGGACCTCCTGGACCGGATCCTGCTGGACGAAGAGGATGACCGCTTCGCTCCTCCGGGACCGGGTTTGCTCACCACCACGGGCGGGGCGGGGGCAGCTGGGGCAGCGCCTGGCGCACAGCCGGGGCCGGTGGCCAGGGTGCTCTCCGAACAGGTGGGTGCAACCGCCTTCGCTACTGTTAACGTGTCGAAAGCGGCATGCCTGCATGGGCACCGCCCACTGGCCTATGCTGCCGTGTGCCAGATTGAATACCGTATAAACTCGTGTAAGGGCCGCACTATTTTTTCCCGATTTGAGGGCAAATTTTCAAGGTGCGGCCCATACACGGATAAAAAAATCTGTATCCACATTTTGAAATGAATGTACATGACTGCGCTCGGCTGCACTGGTCGAAGACGCCTTCACTCCGGGATCCGGAATGAATCGTCAGTCGGATTTAATTAGTTTACATACTGTGCAATACGCATTTTTTTTTTTTTGTGTACTTGATAGCATGCGCGGCAACTTTCGACTTGAATCCCGTATGACTGTTGAAGCAGTACTTGCCCATAGCTCTGATTGCGCAAAAAGGCGGGCAAATCACGACGCTTTGACACGAATCGAAGAACAAAAGAAAACCTCCCTATAGCCTACAGTGGCGTTCAAAAACCTGAGTGCTCGCGCGAGCCGAGCCCGCTGAATCCCCATTCCTCACGCTTGCCACGGAAGCTGACATATCCTGTATCTTTTCTCAATGTCTTCCGGCTGCAACATAAATGCATCTCGACGGTGCGGCCGACCATTGTGCCATGCGGTGATACGGATGAGTAGAGAGCAAATGTCGGGGATTCGGAGACGTGCTGCTACGTGCTTGGGCAGTGGCCATCGCCACCTAGCGATATATATTCATAGAAACTTTCATGCATTACAGTCGGCGCACCTCAAAAACAAGGGGGTGCGGCACATACACGAATAATTTCTCGCAATTTTTTTTTTCCAATATTTTGTCTTGAATACGGGGGTGTGGCCCTTACAAGGGTGCGGCCCTTACACGCGATTATACGGTAGTTCAGCCACTGGCAGAGGCCAATATTTTAGGTTGAACACTGACAACCAGCTCATAATAATTATAGCCTTTCTCTCATCCTCAACCTTCATGATTAGAAAGACTCAAAACCCACTCACCCTCACAACTGAACTCCCCTTCAATTCCTCGCTCACCAAACCCGTATACTCATCAAACTCACAGATACACCACTCACAAACGCACCAAACTCATTAAACTCGCCAAACTTGTGAACTCACCAAACCCATGAGCTTGCAAAACCCATGAACCCGCCAAACTCATACCCCTCACAAAACACGTCCTTTATCGTTCGCTCCCTTGACTTAACCTCAAACTCGCAAGCTTTTGAGGCTTACAAACTTACTCTCTCTCACTTCACATGTGAGGTGAGTGAGTGCACTCATAAGTGAGTTTTGCAAAGTTATAGCCATTGGTGCAAGACTGTCCACCTTAGGCGCTTGTTTTACGGTGGGCTGCACTCATGGGGCCATGTTGGTAAATCGGATGAACCGATCGTCACACTTTTATCGAGCATTTTTTGGCCCCCAATTGTTCTTGCAATCTGATGATGCAGTCAGGGGTGATCCAGTTGCGCCACTTGCGCCATTTTGATATATTTCCACTTGCTTGAGCCTTGCTGTGCTCAAAGGGAAAAATTGCATTAACAGGGTGTCTAGCAACCGGGAAAACCGGGAATTGTCAGGGAAATTTTCATCACCGGGGAAAATAAGGGAATTGTCAGGAAAATTGTCAAAAAGCGAGGTCAATCAGGGAAAATGAGCCGGAAACGCCATCGAGTGCCCTGAGCAGACTTGAGGACTTCGGGGCAGAAATATAGGCAATAAATTTTGCTTAGAGAGGAGTGCGGACTCTGCTCACCCGATCTAGAGTGTGCTACCCGTTGCAAAGGGGGCAGCCGACAAATCCAGTCCAAGCCTTCGATTGGATTGGATTGAGGGCACGACAGTAGGCTTGATCTAGTTAGAGCTACTAGATTTCGTAACAAATGGGAAAGCCGCAGACCCCAGCCCAATTCAAGCATTAAGCCATAAATATCCGAAAGTGTGCATCTGGCGGCAGTGCTCCATGCTGCCAATCGGTTATTGACGTGTGTGGTTGAGTGTCGTGTTTTCATTGTGTTTCCGGATGTGGCCTCTTCACTAACGATGTAAGCGGCAAGAAAGTGCTCGTTTAATCTGGACTGGACGAACTGGAAGATTTCGGGATATGCAAGTTGGATTAAGCCCATGCAAAATGATGCTCACAGTGCTCAATGCTGAATGTCTTGTGTTGTAATGGTTTTATTAAGGGCGAAGCTCCTTAGGGTCTAGCCTTGTCCGTCCGGCGTCCGTGCTCACATCGATCTTGCTCGTGCTCGTGATCATGTTCGTGAGCTCACGTGCTCGTGTAAAGCAAAAAAAAAAAAATGACGAAAAAAAAAAAAAAAAGTTTGCGCAGTCGACAGGATTTGAACCTGTGCGGGGAGACCCCAATAGGTTTCTAGTCCATCGCCTTAACCACTCGGCCACGACTGCGGGACGAGTAGGGGGCTCTGAGATGTGGTAGTAACTCAAGAGCTGGGGATGTCATGGATAAAATGTTGCATGTAACCGCGCAACGTCTATACAGGAGAGGGCGCTGCGGTCCAATGCGTATATAACTGTGTTAACTTTGCATGCATTGGCTCAACGTTTATAGACGAGAGGGTCAAATGCTCGAATGCGTATATAACCACGTTCCATACCACACATTCTCTTTCCGACATGGATGAAAACGAACGAAAGGCTCGGCATGCTGCGGCTCAGCGTCTACGCAGACAAGCTCCACCAGAGCTTCGCCCCAATCAACATCATTCACCACGTGGAGATGCGGTCATTTTATATTTAACCGCCTCTACAGTGGTCAGGGAATTTCAACTGAAATTGTCAGGGGAAACCTGGAAAAGTCAGGAAATTTCAAAATAATAATTCGCTAGATATTCTGGTTAAACAGTGCCAAAGCGAACGAATTGGTTTTTGGAAGAATTTTTCGTTTTCGTCTGGCAACTGTGGGAATCCAGTAGGGCTTTGCCATCTCAATCCAATCCGACTCCGCAGCATTGTTTTTCACACCAATTTTACCGACATTCGTAACGCAGCGCAGTATTAACAGTTTCAGTTGCGTTTGGAAGTGCATTACTAAAAATTAACGCACACAAGTAATTGAGACAAGTGATGTCTTTAACCACGAGAAGGGGCAACGACTCGGCGACGTTTTCGTGCAAGTCGACTTGGTGGTCGGGCGTGTCGTACTGAATGAACCCTAATTGTTTTCATCGGTCCAAAATGACGCTTTCAAAGAAAGACAGATTCGCCGGTACGGCGAACGACAGTTCTCAAGCAGAGGTCCCACGCCCGTCGTCCGCCGCCCACGATATGTGATATGACGCCATGTTGAGAATTCGGCAGTCAACACACAAAATGCTTCCTGTTGTGTGTGCAACTTTTTTTTTTTCAATCAACGTATTTGCAGCTTTTTAGAAGCCACAAAAAATGGATTTCATTTTTTTATTTTTTTTATTTTTAATATTGAGTGTGTGCCTTTAATGACCCACAACTTTGATTAAATTTGGTGGTTGTGCCTAAACCTTCGAAAACGGCCCGTGACCACGGAGAAGAGAGTGAGTGCACTGAACGTAGTAACTGAGTGCACTGAACGTAGTAACTTAGTGAACTTTTTCTTTTCTCGAAATTCGCTTTATTTTAAAAGTTATAGGCATAATCAAATTACAAAAACAAGCAGAAAATAACCCCCTTCTTGACATCCTTGTTCCTTTGTCCCCCCTTTGCCCGCGCCCGCGGACCGTGATGACTGAGGAGTGTGGGGAGGGAGGGGAAATTGGGGAAAGGAGGTGAGGCCGAGGAGAAAAAGCTGCCCGTGAACGGGGCAGCTTTCTCTCCTCGGCCGATTAGGACCAATAACGTCACGATTTCGTCGCATGCGCATGCGTTCGACACCATGGGGTGCCCCCGTGGGAGCAGGAGGTTTCCGCGTTGCCTGGTTAAAATATGATGCAGTGATATTTAATTACTCTCTTTGTGCCTGCTGGGTTGCCCAAACCACAAGAGATGTGGAAACCGTAAGAAAGGTAGACACTTAAATAGGATTGCAGGCCCCTTTAAGGGGAACACCGGTCCTGGGGCTTTTTTTTTTCTTATTTTTTTTGGCCAAGCCCAGTGAAACAGCACAAGCTTGTTCAGGCTTTTGAGCTAATTTCAAATATCTCATTTTTTTAATTAGTAGGGTACTTCCCTGGATAATTATAACTAAACAAACTTTGTTTCCAAAAACAATAAAAAAAATCATTCTTAAAAAAAAGAAAGTTTTAACATATGGTCAGATACTACAAATTATAAAGAACGCAATGTTGGAAGTACTTTTTTTTAGATTGAATCATTATTAGTGACTTCACAACACATTTAAGTTCATTGCTCAATACGTGGCTACCAAGCAATAAAACATTATTTCAGTTAAAAATTTTCTATGCCTATACTGAAAAATCTTCCCCCAACATTGCATGCTTTGCGCATTTAGCTACATGGTGCTAAAAAGTTATTTTTCTGTCTTCTACCCTAGATGGTGAGATATCCCTCCTGAAAATTTGTAAGGAGTCCAAAATTTTTGTTTTGAGAAAGTGTTGCTTTAGCATCAGCTTCACTGCAATTTCAGCCCGTATAGTAGATATTATACAGTGATATTATGGCTAAAATGTTAATCTTCCAAATAAGAAACTTGACAGATCAAAAGAAAAGTAGCTGTAGATTTCACAATCACCATTAAAAACAAAAAGTTTTTTTATGGATTTTTTGGTTTTAAAACAAGTCTCCCCTTAACGCTATCTCGTTAAAATATTTCAGCGCTGTTGTCCTACTGGGGCTGTGTTGGCCGTATCGGTTTTTGTGACTTATTGTTGGCCGAAACGGGTGATTTCTCACTTCTAAGGATGCCAGTAATGTGTAGATTCCGGCAAAGCAAGTTACGCACAAGTTATGAAACAGAAACTGAGGCGTCGAATGGGGAAGACCTCAACCCAAGCAATAGCAGGCATATTCATTTAGCCCTGTAAAATGTAGCCATATATCTTTCAACAATGGAAATAGGAATATTTTTTGTTGCAGACAGTACTGCGACAACTGGGCTCAGTCACATCGCTGTGACGTGTGAAATGTGTTACACTTTTTTCTGTTTTGCCGAACTTCTATAAGCACATGTCCATTGATTTCCTGTTTGTTGCATTTGCTTGTTTAATTCTAGCATCTCCTTTTGGCCGCCCTCCTTTTGTTCAGCGTTGTTCACCTCTTTGCCTCTGAACTGTGCTTCCTCTCGTTCTTGCCCTAGCAGACGTGGCCTTGGACTAGACTTGAAAGGGACCCAGGCTTTTACAATCACCCAATTACCTTGCCATCTCTTCACTATGGACATACACACGGTCCTTTTTTACCTGATTTCCTTGGTTCTGCTAGTTTCATTCCACATTGTGTTTGGAATTGGTAATTGTGATCTGTGTGCACCGCTGCGTATGCGTCCAACTTACCCGCTTTTCACTGGCGTGCTAGGAGTACCTGTTTTAGATCGATGGAATCAGAATTTTTGTTCAACCCAATAGCAGTGATGCGATTGACGGCGCCAATTGCATCATACTGTGCCTGAGGCTTACCCTGCTACATTTTGCAAAAATATGGGTAATCTGCACCAAACCTGCGCCAAAAAACCAATTTCGATCGCCTTTCAAAACCAAAACTAAACTGAGTACTATAATTGAGCATGCATAAGTTATGTGGCGCAAGTGGCTGCCCCACACAAAGTAACCTGTCCGGTCTTGCATGGTTTTCCCACAGTCTCGCGTTCTTGTTGTGTCGTCAATCTCGTCTCGCGTTTTTTTGTTTTGTTTTTTTATTTTCAACGATAGACGCGGGTGTGTGCAGACGCTCCGATGCTAGCATGCCGGATACTAGCCATGCCGTCGTGCTGTGAAACGAAACCGCAATTTTGCGCGGCAGGAGTTACTTTGTGAGCTTGAAGCACTCGCTCCTGAAAGCAATGGCCATGGGAAAACTATATTTGGTCCTTGCCTTCCAGTCACTGTGGTCGCGCTATGTTGGGCCTTGCCGTCCCCACATCGCTGCAGATATGGCGCTTTCTAAAATGAAACTAAGTACTGCCGCATGTTCATCAACATTCCTTTTCTTGTTTTATTCATTGATTACCTAGGTTTCTCTCGGTGGGCTTTCTTTCGAGAGGTACCCAGTTACATGAAACATCTGCTGCGAAAGAAAGTTGGTGAAGAGAAGTGAGCTAAAGCAAAGAAGGCAATGTCTGCATGCTGAACCCGCACAGCGCGCTTGTTTGTCTCAAGTTCAGTCATTGCACAAAGCGCTCCAAGAACATTTTGACCATGGCTCACGATGCGCTCAGGTTCTTTTTTTTTTTTTGTGTGTTTAGCTTGTACCTTGTTTGCTGGCCTGGCAAGCATGCGCTGCTTGAGCGTTTTTTGTTATATGCTCGACAGTTATATTTTGCATACATATAGGGGAGTGGCATGATTTCGGTCTTGATCGAACAGCCGTTGTCTCCGCTTGCGCGACGAAGCGCGCACAGCTGCAAGCTTACCGAAGTTGCCCTTACGTGCATGCGAACATGATTGCACGACAGAGGCACCAGCCGGGACGCTTGCAATGCATTGTATTATGTTTTCTTATGTTTGACGAAAATCTGGCACGTCAGGAACCAGTAAAATGGTGGCAAGCAATTTCTCGGAATTGCTCGGCAATGCCTACAGCTCTGTACACTTCGGGATGTCTCAGCAGTAAAAACACTAGCAGCGAGTTCCGTCGTCACATCAGAACTCAACACAACACAAAGTGCCCTTTGTTTGTACAGCACTTAAAACAAATATTTTTATTTTTATAAGAATATCTGCTCCAAAAGCCACTTTTACTGTTCCAAAACACTATTTTGGTTGTTCCAATGGCCACAGTTGCTGCTCCAAAACACTGTTTTGGCTGCTCCGAAAGGTGCTCCAAAATGGCTTAGGCCACAATCACATCACTGCAATAGGTGCCATTATTGCTCACCGATTATCGGTAGGCCCCAAGTTCTAAAGAACAGTTTATAAAAAATGTCTGCCTCTATTTGAATAAAATAGTAGTTCTCCATAGCCGTTAAAGTTCACTGCAATAGTTGCCGCGTGGTAGTTTCTTCCCGTTTCATTTGTAGGCCGTTGCAAGTGTCGTCGGTTGTTAGGTCTTCCCAGATCGTACATCTTTTCCCCACAGTCGCCCGAAAAGTGTATCGACAAGGTTCTACCTTAACGAGTTTAATTGTTACAGGTTGCTGACCCCAGCTAATGTTGGCGTGCCCATAAGCAATGCCCCGTCTTTCTCCTCCAGGCACTGTGCGAGAGCATCCGCGAACTGCTGGGCCTCCTGGTGGACGAGCCCACGCTCAAGGGATTTGGCTACCCAGACAAGCCGGTGGACGAGCTGCTGGAAGCGGTAATCCGCCGGTGCGGCCACAGTCCGGCCAGCCCGGACGACTATGGCTACATGGACCGGCTCCGCGAAAACTCCAAGCTCCTGTTCACGGTTGTCATCGACGACAATGCCGTCAAGACCCTGCTCAATAACCAGACCGTGGACGAAGTCATTTTGCACGTGTTGCGTCTCGCAAAGTCCTAGGTCCCGCACCCGGTTGTCCTCTCCCGCTCCGCCCAAGTCGTGCACGGAGTCTGGGAGAGGAACAGATGCGTTGCGCCGGAGCGGCGGAAAGGCCACGTCTCGCGGAGACGAGGCCGAGCTGCGTCGACCCGCCTCGTTGTCAACGAGTGGCATTTCCACTTCTCTGGTTGCCAATGCGTCGTTTGTATCTTCTTTCGCGGATTTGCGCGTCTCATTAGATAGTCTTCCTTTCGGTGCTCCTTGTTGGCTCGCGGATTCGAAACTGTCCAAGAGTGTTGGTGTCCACGATGCTGGCAGTGGCAGGAATGATTTTAAGAGGTGAAGAAAGGGGCCACCGGTTGCTCGTGTTGACGGCTGTCCAAACTGGATGCTTTTTTCCGCAGCCGCGGCATTTGCCGTGTTGGAGGTGGAAGTTTTCATTTAGTTCCAGTCCGCTTCTACACGTTTGTTTTGCTGGGGGGAAAGCTTCCCTCCACTTGCGTTCACAGACAGGGGCTTTAAGCGTACTCATCACATGGGTCTGGATGGCCACATGTGCTCTGCTGGCTGTCTTTGAGGCATCCGCCGTTATCGTCGGTCCCCAATCTCCCGAAAAGAAGACGGTGTTAGAGGTGACGGCGAGGAGACGAGCTGTGTTGTCAATGTCCAAATTAAAAAAGGGCGCATGCACCTCAGCTTTTACGGTTTTTTTTTCTTCTTTTTCATAGAAGCGTATGTTTTTCTTTGTCGTCACAGCATTTGCTGTATGGACGCCACTTTAGAGACATAGGGCCCTGTTAGCTTTTGTATTCCCTCAAGTTGCCTTGGTTGAAAGCCCGTTTATGCCACGGTGAATTTTGAAATAGCAGTGGCACCGTTTTGGTGCAGTCATTCGTGTTCCACTTTTTTTACCTGGATCATCTTTGTCTTTTGAGGAAAACAAGGAGGCTCTGTGAAAACGGTGAACAAGGTGGGGCGTAGAACAGTCGGTTTTCAACGGCCCTGGAAAGAGATGGCTAGGGGTTGTGTGGTTGACGCATTCGAGTGGAAAAAGTCACATGGTGCCTTAGGGAACCACCTGTGTATGCGAGCTAGGGTGGCACCCGTTACTGTCGTCTCGCAGCACGGCAGGAGCTGTAGACCTGATCTGAATTCGTTAAGAACTTTCGACGCGGAGGCTGAACATTCTGGCTTCAAAGTTCTCAAAACCAAATGAGCATGTTAATAGTGCCTTGAGATATTTTGTCACTTCTAAACCACTTGGCTGTTAAATGTTACAAGAATTTTGAGCAAGTATTAAACAAGCAGTCAGAGCCTTACATTGTGTGCTTATCAGTCTGGGTGCTAGGACACCATTAATGTGCTTGGTAATTGTGAACATTGCACCACCTTGAGCGATTGTATTTAGACTAGTTTGCTATTATATCATTTGCACAGAACAATGGGCAGAGGTATAAATTAAAAACAACCTAAAGGAAAGATAGAAGATTTTATTTTGTGTAATGAATCTTCTATGCATGCAAATTGTACATTCCGCCAATGTCCTTTTAAAGTGTTTGTGGCAATAGAGGTCGCAGTAGTCTTGTCCGTTTTCTTGCATGAAGTGTCTCTATTATGTGTGGGAATATCCACAATAATTATCAGTTTTTCCATTCTGCTGAGTTTAAAAGGCAGCACCAAGCAAAGCTTTCTGTTGGAAAGTAGACATTTTTTGTTGTTGCACGTAAGTGCCATGGACGATGCATTTCATTTTTCACAAACACTGCGACTGAGGCGACGCATTTTCAGTGCTTCACTTCTGGATATTGTGCTTCTCATTTGTAAATACTGAACACATGCCACCAGAGTGCTTGGATGTGCCTTACCTAGATTGTGTCTTGATGCCTTTAGGGCACTGTCATACTCCTTCTATATTGCATTGGTGTGTCTCTCCCCTTAGTTTTTCGTGGCAAATTACAGGTTCAGCACTCATCCAGCATAGTAGATAATTCATATTTTCCTTGTATAACATTTTCATACCGTCTGAACTAAAAGATTTTGAAGTTCCCCGATTGTGCACTGTCCCTCATTCCAGATATGATAGTTTGCTACTATTTATCTTGCTACTATACGTTTCGGGCATGAGCCCCGTACTTTGATCATTGGTGCCATGCATTTGTGCAGTGCAAGTGCCGTTCACAATGACAGCCTCGTGCTTATAGTTTGTCAAAGTTCTCATGACACAAAAATGATGTGAGGTTACTCTAATTGTGAAATCTTCATTTATTATTTAAAATAGACACAACAAGTTGCACCATTTTTTTTTTTAAATTTTAATAATTGCAATTTCCATAGGGTGACCACCATGCAACCCTGATGAAACTGCCAGAGGTGAGTCATGCGACCCCAATCGAGCGGTCAAACAAGTTGAACATTACTCTCGCCAAGTTGTCTGGAATTCGGTTAAACCGTGTCCTCAAATGTGGTCCCTTGATTTCCGACCGATGATTCCATAGAAGTGTCATGTTATTGCCTGCCGCGACACAAGCAGTGGCACAGCAGTGAAAGTGCATGCGGCAACGTTTCGGGCTGCTCTTCAGCTCGACAGTCCACGTAAGCTTGGAAAAGCCAGGAGTTGGGACGCCGCAACAATGGTGGCACATGACCAACCGCCACAGTTGCAACATCCGGCAGCTTGATGCACCGGCTTCTGCGACACCTTCGGGACCGCTTTCGATGCACAGACGGTACAGGACGCTTACTAACTCTTTCCGTGCCACGCCCATTGGTCGTCAATTACCCGTGATTGACGGATTCCAAGCTCCGCCAAAGTCGCACCATCTCGTGGATAGGCAAAGATCTAGAGCTTTAATTTTGTTTGGCGCTTTCGCCCAAGCTGGCGAGGCGTCGGAAAGAAATCTTGCGACGGTAGCACTTGTCAAACATTGTCTTGCTAAGATTAGGGGTCACTACAAAGATAGCTTCAATCACAGATGGTTGCTGCTTTTGCTGCTTGTTTCTTGGATAGCAGCATTGAGAACTGTGGATGATGTTGCGTTATTTGATTTGGCTCCTACAGGAACGTTTTATCTCGGAGGCGCAGAATATTGACAGGCGCTTGTTAAAGAGCGTTGTTCTAGCTTTCTAGGCTGTCCTGAGCTGGGACATTTCTTGTGTGCTGCAAGCCTTAAATTGCCAGCAGAAAAGCAGTGCTACAACTTGCCAAGGTTTTGTGCAATAACAAATTTTTCTGGAAGACATGCACCTCCACACATTCAAAGTGGCACGACGCCATGAAAGCAAACTTGCCACTAAACCCCCCCCCCCCCCCCCCTCCCCCCAAACAACAACCAACAGGTTTTTGGCTTGGGGGGGGGGGGGGGGGGGTTATTGCTTTCATCAGTTGGGGGAGTTCTCCAACTGATGGAAGCAATAGTGGTGCCAATGGGACACAGGTTTTATATTTAGGATTTAGAAAAAAAAATTGTAGCATGATTTAACATAGCCACAAGTGTTTATGCGCCGAGAAAGTGAGGAAGAGGAGGCCACAAGAGCGCGTGGGGACGTCGAAACTCCGAGCTTTGTTTCAAATGATAGTGGGTAGACCTAAAGTTAGCTGCCTTTCTCTGCACTGCGCCTGCGTTACGCATTCAGTGAGTGCAGTGGAGACAGCTGCTAGCTTTAAATCTACCCACTAATCGTAACCAGAGCTCGGCATTCCGACCTCCCCGCGTGCTCTCGTCTCCTCCTCCCTCACTTTCTCGGCCCATACTTTTTGTACCAATTTTTTCCACAAATTTTAAGTTAGTTTCAATTTGGCAAACTTTTTTCAAACAATGTAACCATTTCTTTTTTTTTTTAAGAGCAACTTGGCAGTTACATTTTGATGCCTCACAATTAGTCATATGCCGAGTACTCGAGATAAGAAATATTTGTCCATCCCTCAAAAAGCAACACTTTTCCCCGTGGTAGGGAAAAAGTTTGTACCCCATTCGAAGACTCGTTCGAGCACCATACTCTCATCCCACACCTACCTCTCTGCCGGTCTCCCCGCAAGACGATTCCAACGAAGCAAGCGAAGCCCGACGTTCTATTGGCTGGAAATGGAGGAGGGATGTGGAAGCGCGCGAAGCAGCCGAGGCTCATTTTGGAGCTCAACAAAGCCCTCGCCCATCAGGCAAAACCCTTAATACAAAAGCATTAACTGTCCCATGGTGCAAACTGACGTCATCAGCTTTGAAGCATCGCCAAACAGCACCTAAACTCCCCTGTCCTAATGGAGCGAAGTGAGGCCGCGATTTGATGGATAGGCTCATGCTGGCTGGCACACGTCAAGAAACGAGGCTCCCATTGGTTCTCGCACGGCGTGGTTCCAAGAAAACACCGCCACAGTAGCCCTCTTTATGGTGGCGCAGCACACACAGTGGCCCAGCCGCCGATAAGAAATGCGAGCCTGGTTGCACAGCCCGCTTGGGCAAACTCCGGAGAGGCTGCACGGCCGGATCGGCACGGCCACGCCACGCTACCACAGACCAACTATAAGTGGAAGAACGATATGCATGCTTTCGCATTCACAACTCGTAAGAAGTGCTTAGGTGTCCTCAAACTTTTAATGCGAAAGCATTAATTGTCATGGAGCGAGCCGACATCATCGGTTTGAAGCGCGAAAATGGCACTTTAAATCCTTTCTCCAAGTAAAGCCAGCTCCCAGCTGTGAAACCACGCGAAAAGCCTAGACACGGCACAGAGTTTCCTTGATTCCAAAGGAGCGAGGTAAAGCTGATGGCTTTTCGTCTTCGGTCCCATTGGCTTGCGCGCGTCAAAGAGGCTCCCATTTGCTGGACATGCAGCGCCATGGGGTGGCCAGTCGTTGAAACTGACGCTGCGTGTCAGTTTCAATGACTGACCACCCCTTGGCGCTGCGTGTCCATCAACATCGTCGACGCAAATACACTGCAGACAATATAAGTGAGCGGAAGAATGATGTACATGCTTTCGCATTAACAACTCGTAAGTGCTTAAGTGTACTTTCAGCCTTTTTCTTTTCTCGACTTACACAGAAGAAACATTACCATTGTATGAGGTTTTTTTTTTTTTTGTACATGACAATAAAACAAGTCTAATTCAGACCAGCAATTACTAGCAGATTTATCAGAATCTAGGTAAATTGACGGTTTCCTTCCAGCATTGGTTGTTTTTAATTTAGGAGCCGACCTATAATACATTGTAGGAAAAGCTTTCTAACCCCATCAAGCTGGTAGAGACGTCCCGTAGCTTCACCCACTCCACCGAGCACGCCGGTGCAATCTGGTAAAGCTTGACCCGAGCGGCATATTGCAGGTGCCACAGCTTAATTGGACGAAAGTGGCTGGTTTCGCAGGAAGTTTGGATGATGTGGTCAGCAAGATTGACTAATACACTTTAGCTAGGGTGGCTCAACATGCTGCAATATATAAAATAATCTTTAGCCTTTTACAATTTTAGACATCTGGGTGAATCTAATATATCTGATCATATTGTAATGCGTCAGCATTAGTGCCCTGGTACATGCGCCGACCTTGGACTGGTTTGGAGCACAAATTTCTGAAGTATGCAACGTCACCACGGGATGGTGCCACAGCCCCACGGGCAGTGGAAACTGGCTAGGGAACACCTGCAAGCGCCGAGAGATGGGGGCGGGGTGCATATTTCGACAGGCCAGGCTGGATAGGAAGCACAGCAATGGAAGCCGCACTGGATCGGCTGCTTATAGGGAGCGACGCCGTGACGTAACACTTGGCAACCGCAGATCACCGGCAACATCCCCCTTCGCCAATTTCAGAACCGTGCAGCTAGATTAGGCAAATGCATCATTGGGGCGCGCATTAACCCACCCCAGCCCCCTCCATCCATGCCGCTTAGCGGCGACAGTCGGCGGCTGGTGCATTACAAAATATTAACCCACCTTAGCCCACATGCATACACCCCGCTTAGCGGCGCCGGTGGCCCAAGTACGCCCTAGCCCCGCCCTCCCCCACTGCACCTCGGTTGCTAGTCATATGCCTAGCAACCAGCCAGCGTGCAACTAGCAACCAGCAGTTGCACGTCATCGCTCTATGCAACCAGCCAATCCTGTGCCGCCGCCGTTGCTATGCGTCATATGCCTAGCATCTCGAAAAAAGTGGCCGAGGTGCAGGTGTGCGCTTTGGACCACCCTCAGAAGCTCCTGCCACCGGCTTTGGAGACCTGTGTACGCACAAGGGCCACGGTTCTGTTCTTCAGCTTACCACACCGTTCTTGATGCACAGCCGTCTTGCCGTGTCACCAGGTCGTAAGTGCATGGTGTTGTCACCCCTGTACGCGTAACATGTATGCACAACAACAAAATGGCTCTTCCGTTTTCCCCGCATCACATGCACATCTATTATGCAGACGCCAAGTGACCCAATCCGCTGCACCAGGGAGAAGAGGGGTTTTGGAAATGTTCACTCCGTGGAAAAGTGCCGAGAGGCTGCATTCACAATGCTTTGTTATATATAACTGCTTTGCGAAATGCTAACACATTTCTTCGAAAATCAACGTGGCAGCAACAGCGAGTTCGGCCCATTTTTTACTAGAGGTGTGCAAACAGTGAAATTCCCATTTGAATCGAATTCGAATCAAATAATGCTGAATAAAGGCCAAAAAGTCATGTTGAATCCAATATGAATACCAAAAAATGTGTTCACAATCGTCACATAACATAACAAAGAACTCGAAGGACACTTAACCCCTTGCCTACTAATAACGAGTGTCACTCGTGCCGCCATTTACGGACCATAAAACCCGACCACGAGTGTGACTCGTGTTTCGGTTTCACAGCTTGTTTTGCGAGCTCTGCGGCAGATGGCAGCACTACCCCTGTTGCTCCTGTTTACCTTGGGTTCTTTTCTTGTTTGCTTTGCCTTTTGACAGAGAGGGGGCGCTCCATTGACAAAAAAATAAGCGCGCTATTGTAAGCAAGTGCGCCAAAAACATGTCTTCGGCGCGGAGGTCTGCTTTGGCGGACGAAGATATACAAAGAGTTCTTTTTGAAAGTGATGAATGCGCCAGTATTTCTGACGACGAATCCTGCTGCCTTTCCGATTACTTGGAATCCGATGAGAGTTCAACGGACAGTGAGAAAAGTGTTGAAAATGATGCGAATCCTGGAAGCATTTCATCGACTTCGGCGTCTGCACGTCAGTGGAACTGGGAGAAGAGGGACAACCAGCATGCTCAGTTCACCTTTGTAGAAACCCCAGGTGTGTCAGCAAGGGTTCAACGCAGTCTTGGTGAGAAGGCAAGCGCCTTGTCGACCTTTTCCGTGCTTGCAAGTCATGATTTTTGGGCGTCTGTCTCTGCTGAGACAAATCGCTACGCCGAACAAGAGATGGGCGACGAGGATCGTCCCAAGAAATGCTATGACGAGCAATGGTTTGACACCACTCCGGATGAGATAAAGGCATACTTTGCCTTGCGCATCATTATGACACAAGTGAAAAAACACACAGCCAAAATGAACTGGTCCAAGAGGTCCATAGTGGAGACCCCAATTTTCGGCAAAACGATGTCCTATGTGAGGTTTCTGCTAATCTCTCGATTTCTATCATACTGTGAAGAACTACTGAAGAAGAGGAGACGACCAGGAGTCCTGGTATAGAGCACGAGACTACGCCTGAAAGCCAAGGAAACGTTTTTCTTTATTTTGACGCAAATTGCTTGATTTAAATAAAGCTTTCTGTACGATCTTTAAAGAAAAAAAATGAGTAGGCAAGGGGTTAAGCTTCACCTAAGCTTCACCTTCAAGAGTAGAACGCAATAGCATTATCGGGCCCCGTTCACATCTTCTCATTCGCCGCGCAAGCGTGCCTTGTGTGGTCTAGTCCGTAGCGTGTCTGGCTTGCAACCGAAGGGTCAAGGGTTTGAATTTCGCCTAAAATTCTTTGAATTTTTCTTTAAACAAATGAATTACTTTATAAAATGAAATAATTTTAAACATGTTGCGACCTTTAATTCGCATCACATCATGTTTTTTAATCACTTTCATTCCACGGGTGACGTAAGGTTTGACGCGAGCGTTGTGGGTTGTTCGAAATTCCCGCGCGAGGTCATGTGGCTGTGACGTCATGACAATATCGACCAATCAGGAATTTCATGTCGCGCCACCGACACCGGCTTCTCTGCGACACGGGATCCTTAACACTATCGCGTTAACAAGCCACGTAGATGAGAAAAAAACTTGTTAATTCTCCTGCAAGACATGCAAAATTTTAAAAAGCTAGCACAAAAAAAAAAAGAAAAAAAAAGTGTTAGTCACTTATTTAGATGTCAAACTTCAAACAGCTGCACACCCACGTTTGGATGCACAGCATGCTGGATAAATAGACGGATATGGCCGATTCGTTTGAACCGGGCAACGTCTTCTCCTAGGACTAGCTCCTCGTTCAACACCGGTTAGCGGACGAGACAGGTCTAATTAACGGCGTTATTTATATAGTCTGGTAATAATTTCATATCATAGACGTAACAATTGTGAATAAGTTCATAGTGCATAGAGCTGGCTGCAAGTGATGCAAGATCCTTCAACTCAAAGGGGCAACGCATGGTTTTTGGGTTGTCGAGCGTTTCCACAAGACTGCTTTGCTCAAGAAACTAACCACTTTCTGTCAAAATGGTTTGTTAGTCAAAGATGTTGAATGCAGGCTTCCCTTAGGTCGAACACAGGCCTGTAAGGATTATTTAACATGATCAGTGTTCCATTATAAACTGAATTTTTAACAATAGTGCTAATATATGCTTCATATAATTATTCGGGGCCTCAAATACGAGGATTTCTGAAGTCTAATCAAATTATATGGACAATCATTATTTAATTCAAATTCGAAGCTCGAGTCTTTGCACACCTCTAGTTTTGACTATTGTTGGCAAGTTTTTGTCGACTATGCTCGTAGCTGCCTTGTACGTACGAGTTGTGTGGATTTATCCTGTTGTCGAAATCTACCTTCCTTCTGCCACAAGTGGGGTCCTCCATCAGTTCTTCCAGTCCACAACCTGACCCTGAACCATCAGTGGTGTAGAACCACTGGAATAAGTAATTGCAGAGCTTTACCAAAAAAAGAAAAGCAAAAATTTAATTTAAGAACGAATTTGATGAGATGTGGCACATTTATGGTTGAACGGCAAGTGCACATACAATAATATTCTGAGGTAGCCCACCTAAAATCGAGAGCAAATCAGTTGAAAATAAGGAGTAAACTCACTTTCAGTGTGTGATAAAGAAAAGCTGAAAAAATGGTACCAGTTTTAGATTTTGTGACTGCCAGGAGGGGCAATGAACCAGACGACTGTCCTTCCCAGTCAGCAATTTTCGCTGATTTCCCGACATGGCTAAGTAACACCATTTCTGCCGAGGTCATCATTGGTCAGGTCCCTGCAGTTACTAGAAGGGAGCTATCCTTCGATGTCTTTTAAGAAAATATTGAGTCATGCCGAAAAATAGGGGTGGGTTATCTTTCAAGGGTGATGCACCTCAGGATATTATGGTACATATATCAGAAAACACTTGAAAATTTAAAATGGTTTAAAAAAATTCTTTAGTGTGTACATAATTCTAGCTGAAAAAAATTAAAAAATCGATTAATATGTGGCTGATTTAATCTGAACTAACTGAAGATATGGTAATGTAATCCATAGCTTTTTCATCCTCAATAATAGCTGTGGAATTGGCCATACCCATCTGTAACAAAAACTCCCTTCATAGTATGTTCGCCTCCAAAATATCTCGCGAATAAAAATGCCATTACCCATGAATTAAGGTCATTAAACATACTCTTACAATAAAAAAGTTCATACAAGTCACTATCCATGTTTCGAGCCGAATCAACTATTTCTTTCTACGAAAAAATGTTCCAAGAGCCAGACCTCACATTTAAAGAAGTTTACTCCAGTTTAGTGTAACACACAGAACAAAAAACATGCTTACATTCCCATCTTGCACCCAAATACCCAATAAACAATTGTCACCACTCTACCACGAGCACTTCCCACGTAGAAAGAGCACTGCAGCGGAAGCCGGTTCGAATGCACTCTCTCCCAGGCACAGGCACCGCCGAAGTGCAAAACGACGACCGAGGAGGAAACCTAAGCCGCAAGCCCACCACTAATACATCATGCGGGGGTTGCGGTGACGTCAGATCGCAGAGCTCTGATTGCCTCCGACGGGAAGGATGGCGGGTAGACCTCAATGTTAGCTGCCTCGAGGTCAGCCCACTATTCTTCCAATGCGAGCCAATCTGAGCTTGGCGTTCTGGTGTCACCATAACCCCCGCGCGAGAAGCAGACGAACTTGCGCTCCACATTCGCTGCAGACACTATGACATAAGTGTCCGTGGCTATGCCTCATACGTGCTCGAAGCATGTGTGCTTCGTGCATACGCATGCTTTGAACATGGCTGCGGACAGTCCTGGCACAACTGACGCGACGGGGCCATCGTACGAGAAATAAACCCGCCTCGGACAGTGTCCGCAGCCTCTCTTTTGTGCGATGCGTTAGTGGCGCGTCCGCGACTCAAGACTTTGCGAGGCGCAGGAGGTGCAGAACGACTTCATCCACGGTCTTCTTGTCGAACAGTGTCTTGACCGTGTGGTCGTCGATGACGACCGTGAACAGCAGCTTGGAGTTCTCACGCAGTCTGTCGATGCAGCCGGAGTCTCCGGGGCTGACCGGGCTGTGGCCACTCCGGCGGATTATTGCTTCCATGAGCTCTTCCACGGGACTGTCTGGGTGGCCAAGTTCTTCGAGGGTTGCCTCGTCCACCAGAAGCCCCAGCAGTTCACGGACGCTTTCGCGCAACGCCTGGAAAAAAGGGACGCCGGTGCTTTGGAAAATGTCCCCGAGCCGACGGCGCGGCAAGGGTTGCACGCTTGCAGAACCGATCGACCGCCTCCCTTTCGTCTCTAGAGCCTGCTCTCTGTGCGTGGCTGTGGGCGGGAACGCGATCGCCGGTCTGACGGGCGTGTAACTTCCACAACGGCAAAGCATAGCTGCAAGCAAAAGTAGGTCTACAACAACGAGGGGTCGCGGTCCGAGTTAAAAAACAATTTGTGCATTTACAGTGCGATCCACTTATAACGATCGAGATATAGAGATGCCCTGCTTATAACGATCAGTTTCTAGAGTTTCCAGATTAGAAACGCTCAATTTCTGGTCAAGATACAACGATAATTGGTTATAACAATTGAACTTTCAAGTTTTCTCATTATCGTTACAAGTGGATTGCACTGTACGTCGCTGAGTCCAGCATAGCCGTATTTTGCGGGTCAATCAGGTTTGTGTAGTACTTTGGGCTACGGTCTCTCCTACTCGTGCTCGACATTCCGTTTTGGAATTTACGGTACAGTAAACTTGCATTAATTCAGCCTCGGTTGATTAGATTTTTCGTCCGATTCGATTGCATTGAAAGGTTCTGACGGGTGCTCGTACGTTGTCAAGACGAAAAAATTTTTTTTATTTGAATACATAAGAACTTTGCATCATACAATTCAACCGAAGCAAATATACAAGGTGCCCCACCAAAAACTTTACGTGGTTTTTTTCACCACAAAAATAAACTACACATCTCCAAATGCTCATTCTTGGCCCAAATGTAGCACTAGAGGGCCAAACCAGATGCCAAAGTTTCAGCATTAATCGTTATCTTATAAAAAAAGTTATAAGTGATTTTCTAAAAATTTCAATAGAAAAATGGCGCCCGACAGAGCTTTCGAACACACAGTATTCTATAATGCCAGAAACCGAAAACGGGCAAAAATGGGCCCCATTTTCACCCCCCGTTTTTTTTTTAGACTGAAAGTCTTTACAGGCAATAGTGAAAATGTGACGCAGTAGCAGGCAGGGGTTCACTCTCTGGACTGTAAAATATGTTCCCAAGTGATCGCCAGAAGTTTGATGGTGCCTGCTCGACCCACATGCATGCGGAGATATCACGACACTGAACAGTGCAGGTGTTTAAATATGTACAAACAAATTTGTAGTTGTCGCCCGAGGGAGCTCGTGGAAATGCGACAATTAGCAGTCGCATGGCTATCCATTAGTCCATTGCGCTCTTTCGGGAGCTTCCTATGGGCTCTTAAAATTACTTACTAATCTTTTTTTTTTTTTTGCACTTTTTTTTTTTTAAAATATTTATGTTTGAGGAACAAGTATTAGAAAATCTTTTGTACGATAACAAACAAAAGCTTTGCCCTTTTCTGTTCGAAGGGGCACGGTGTCAAGTGTTTTAGTTTCTAGCATGTTGGTTCCCCCAGCGACGACGCAGCTCGACGAAGGTCTGCAGTTTTCGTGATATATATATACAATAGCATAAATCCCCCGGTTTACTCTAAAATTGTCTGGAACACCTTTATATTTCTAAAATTTGTTGATTCGGTGGTCTTTGATGATACCCAGAAAGTTTCTAATTGAAACCAACCTTTCCACTAATTAAAAAAGGTAACCGCACAAAATTACTAATTAAAGTAATTGTAGCACATTATTATTTTACCAAAAAGGCCCTTGAGCAAAGACAAATATGACATTCACCTTTTTTTTCTAAGCAACGCATACTTTTTGCAGAAACCGTTCGGCCCGCGTTCCGAGAAACATGCTGTATGCCTACAAGCACTGGCCCACTTTCGAATCGTGACCCACGCGTTGCTGCAGGGACGGTGGTTGCACCCACCTGTTCAGAGAGCACCCTGCCACCCGCGGAGGCCACCATCCCTGCTCCAGGAGAAGCAGAGCCGTCGGAGGAACGGAGATCCTTCGGATCCTCCTCGGCGAGCAGGGTCCGAAGGATCAAACCCTGCTCTGACCCCTCGGACTCCAGCAGGTCGCGGTGGCGAACGCGAATGTGCCGCAGGAGGCAGTCCTTGCGGATGAAGGTGTGGCCGCACTCGTTACACGACCGGGGCTCCTCCTTGGTATGCGTCTTCATGTGGGACTTGAGCGAGGTCTTGATGCTGAAGCGCTTGTCGCATGTCGGGCACTGGTAAGGTTTCTCGCCAGAGTGCAGCACCGAGTGGCGTGTCAGGTCCTCCCTCCGCGTGAAGCCCTTGCCGCACTCCTCGCACGTGTGCGGCCTCACCTTCAGGTGCAGGTACTTCATGTGCATGTCCAGCCGGGCCTTGCGGTTAAACACCTGTGCAGCGAGCGGATGCAGTGTGGTGACGGCTGGGTCGACGGACAGACCGCAATGTCTTGCTCTCACTCGAATTCTCTAAGCCGCCGAATTCAGCCTGGGCACCAGCGTTGCGGGCATTGTTTGTCATGCAATAATTTTCCACTTATATCATTCCGCTCGCTGCTCTACGCTTCAAGATCGGTTGTTTTGTACTTATAAGAGTTGAAACAGAGCAATGAATGCCCGTGATCGACTCCAGCTTCCTATCGTGGAGCTTGAAGTAAGATAGTTTTAACATTGTAATGTTCAAGCACATGAGGGGGGGAACTCCTCGTTTGCAGTATTGCAGCCAGTTTACTGTAGATCAGAATGTTTGCTGCTTATGTCCCTGCAGCAAAGGCACTCCCCGGGCTCGAAGTCGGCACCATGCATTGGCCACATTTGCACCTATACTCCGTTGCAACTCAAGAAGGTAGGGCGAGGGTAAGACGGGCCGGGGAGGAAGAGGCAGACGAAACGCTGGAGAAGAGGGGGGAAAACCTCCTCCTTTCTCCAGCATTTCGTCTGCTTCCTCCTCCCCGGCCCATCTTACCCTCGGCCTACCTTATTGAGTTGCAACAGACTATAGTAAAGAAACCGTACGGATCCATATTCAACACCAAGTATGCACCTTATGCTTGACATCTGCGTGTTTTTCAAACTTTTACTGACTCGTGTTTGCAACACGAGCAATGTCCTCAGCCAGGAGAAGGGGCAAAGACTAGGCGACGTCTTTGTGCGAATTGGCTTGGTCGTTGGGTGTGTTGTACGGAATCAATCCCAATTGTTTTGATCAGTAAACGGCTACTCTTTCGAAACTAGACAGATTCGCCGGTACCGCGAACAACAGTTCTGAAGTGGAGGTGCCATGCCCATCATCCGCCGCCACTGCTTAAGGGCAGTCCAAACAAGCCTGCAAAACGTCGCCCAAAAAAAAATGCAAAAAGCAAAACTTTTTTTTTTTTTTTTTTTTAATTTTGCAGGTTACATTTGGAGGAATGTGTGAGGAACAGTCAGGACCAGCTAGGGGGACAACCAGCGCGATGGAGACGAGAAGGTTGAGCAAAAAAGGAAAAAATGCACATTAGTTTTCATGGGTGGGAGAGGGAGAAAAGGTACCCTTTGTGGGATTTTCAAGTGGCTTGAACGGAGAAAATACAACAAAAGCACCTGCTTCTTAGGCCTCCCATTGACGTTTTGTAGGGTTCCCGAGAAGTGACAAGTGCACCCCCCACTCCGCTCAAGGTTTGCGAGGAGGGCGAGGAGGGTGAACCGCCCTCCCCTCGGAAGGGCTCGTTGGCTCGTTCGGCCCGGGAAAACGTCACGCTGACGTCCCCACTGACGTCACTCCTCTTTCCCCTGGCACATGTTTTGCGGGTTGGTTTGGACCGCCCTTCAGTCCGCTTCGTTCAGGTGTCCAGCCCGCGACATGACGTTATGTTGAGAATTATGCAGTACATGTGCTTCCGGTATTCTGTGCAACTTCTTTTTTTTTCAATCAACATAATTGCAGTTTTTTAGAAGCCACAAGAAATGGGTGTAGGGATCGCTAGAGGATTTCGTCGTTTCCTGGAAACTGAGGTAATCAACCTTCAACCGTTCGGATATGGGCACCCCGACGGCTTGCCCCGAGGGTAGGGGGATGAGCGGCTTGAGCCCTTTTTAATCTTTGGTCCGGGAAGGAGACAGACATTCTTGCCTGTCGCCGCGAGGTAGTGGCGACTTTGTCGTCACGGCGCGTTTCTAGTGACGGCTTGTGCGCCGGTCTGGGTTCACTTGGACTCCATTACGCTTTACTCGCTAACTTAGAAGGACACGGCGCCAATTTGTTTTGACGCGGCGAAGTGGGGGGTGTTTTCCCTGTAAAGTAGTAAAGTATCGCCCCGATTGAAGAGTTCCCCAAGGGGCTTAGCATTGTTTCTCTTTTTAGAAAAGGGAAATAACGAGTTCCGCGGCTTTTCTGTGATTGGTGGAGGACCCGCTGGCACTGGGGCCAATAGAATTGTATAATCGTCCTGATTGGACAGGCCCTGTGTCAGCGGGGAGTTTTCTCGACCGCGCTGGTGAGGAAACGTTGAGTTTGAACAAGCCCGTGCGTGGAGCAAGTTATCTCCCGCGGTCCGCCGGTCCGTGTAGCTTTGTCGCGAGCGACGAGTCCTGTAACCAAGTTTGCCATTGTCGTTTTAATACACCTATTTTTATCAATGGTTGCTCTCGACTTTGAGCGTCTTTCCTCGAGGCTCCGCCACCACCAACAAGCACCGAAGCGACCATCCAGCGTGGCAGTCCACGATCGCCCGGCTCTGACCTACGACTTCTAGGAAGGACTGGGACAAAACAACCTGAACCTCCGGAAGGGCATTTCTTCACTGAGGGTTTCATATTTTTTTTTTTAATATTTTTAATATTGAGTGTGTGCCTTTGATGACCCACAACTTTGATTATATCAGCTACAAATGGCTGAACGACATGTGACTGAGGAGAAGACAGTGATCGTGACTCAAACCGGCCAGTTCTCAATCAACAATTTTCGGAAGGAAAAAAGAAAAAAAATGTTGACCTGCAATTTGTGTGGTGGATAGCTATATGTCGTGTGAAAATAAATACTTTGGTGACCATAAATGCCCTGTCAATGTTTCTTTAACCCTTTGCGGTTAGATACCCTGATCAACTTAATGGTCATTCCGGTCGGGAACTATTTTGTACGCATAGGCCCCGGAAAAGTATAATTATTTCGGCGTACAAAGGTAATGTCTCACACTGAACGTAAGGACAGGAAAGTCCGGGAAATTGTTTGTGTACAAACTCCGAAACAATGATTGTGGCGGAGTGGCTCAGCGGCTGCTGTCTTGCGCAGTCGTTTCATATTCATCACTACTTTCACTCAAGTCACAGAGGTCGCTTCTCCATCATCAGATGGAGGGATATAGTCGTCCTCTTGACTGAAATCGTCGTCACCTTCAATTACATCACGCAGAGAGTTACATAAAACGAGCGTGGCTGGAACATGGCTATAAACATCGTGCCAGCGAAGTTGAAATTTGCGTGCTCCTCCGTTGCGCAAAAAAAACATATGACATAGAACATGTCTTTTTTTTTTTTCTTCATGACTAGACCTGCCCTCTATAAGAAGAAACTTGAACCCTTTCAAGAGTGATGTGATTGAAATGTTTTCCAAGAGATGGCACCACCAATCCAGCAAAAAAAAGCGAAGGAGCATGTTTAAAAGGACGTGGGAATGCGTGTTGGGCGACGCCCAACTCCTGACCAGAAGCGCGTTTCTCCGATGTCGGGCCTGGCCTGACACATGACCGCAAAGGGTTAAGGTATAATCTCTTATCTGAAGGTAAAATGTAACTAGTCAAAGCGAGTCGGCAACAGGTGCTCAGCACTAGTGTGCGCTACCGTAGTGGCCGGTGTATGGTACATTCTATGGTTGTGCATTCACTGACATGTATCTAACTTGAATCTTTCTGCTTTCCCTTTAGCCACTGCCAAACGTCACAAGTTAAGGTACCACAGGCAATTCGCACATGATTCCGCAAACGAAACGAGCAAGCAAGAAGCAGGAAGGGGCGCACCTTGTCGCAGACTGAGCACTTGAACCCGTTGAGGCCGGTATGGTGGAACAGGTGGGCTTTGAGTCCTCCGCCCTGGATGAATTCCTTGCCACAGTAGGGGCACTTGTGGGGACGGATGCCCGTGTGGATGTGCATGTGCCGGTGCAGAGCACTCCTCAGTGAGAACCTGCAGGTTTGCGCACGGCAGAACGCTGCTAGAGTCACAGACAAGGTGACAAAAATGGCGCAGAAATCCCGCTTCCAGCGCGAGCTTCGTTTCTTCGACAAAACTTCAACGTTGCGTGCACCTTAAGCATCTGCACACAGCTGAAGCACCTCGGAAGGTATGGGGCTCCCGCAGGAGGTCAAGCGTTCAAAAGACACATCTTGCCATTCCCTTCTCTTCTGATCCGCACAGTTATCGTTTTCGTGCTTTTATTTCTCCTTCACCTTCCGATCCTCTTCTCTCCCCTACTTAAATCTCCCGTCTGTTCCATCTCACTCTAAAGAAAACTGGGATGTTGGGTCCATGACATAAAAAGAACACTGACTCACTGTCAACGTCTCCTTTACCTTAGAACCAAAATGTATTAAAGTAGAAAGGTATAAATGTACTTCGTAAATTAAAGGTAAGCTCTTTTATGATAAAGTTTGTTGGTCTGCTGCTTTGCAAAGCGTGCAGTCAGCCAGTCACTCCACCCTATACCTAATGAGCCCACCGAAGGCAAAAAAAAGAAAAAGGGTTGAATCTAAAATTTTGGCATGCACTGTGACGTCTGTCGACAACTGTAGCTTTTCCACTGTGCACTAGTGCTAGCGATGCAAAACTATAGAAAAATTGACTATCGATAATAGCTATAGTTTTTCCAAAACTATTGATAGTGTCGACAACTATCGATAGTGCAATCGATAGTACCATCGATAGTACTGTTGATAGTTGGCTTTTGGTCTACTATCGATACCATAGAAAGCCAGCTTTCAGAAAACTACCAGTTATAACGAAAATTGAAGTGCTACCCAAAAGGAAATGACGACGGATATGTACAGACAGACAACGCGTGGTTCTGGAAAAACATGAAATTGAAAGTTTTCATTGCATTTTCATACATTAAATGGCATTTTGCTGGTTGTCCTGTGTACATATTTTGGATATTCATCGGGTTAACAATCATGCTTCACTCTTTAGTATGCCCACATTTGTAAAAGTATAAAGTATATTCAGTATTTATTTATTTATTTTTTCTTTCTTGAGGCTGGGGAAAACATTTGCTGCAGACATTTAGTACCAGGGTTTTCAAAGTTTGTTTCATGGTTGTGTTAAATATATTAAATTTTCATGTATTACATTTTATAGCTTTGACCACTGATAGATGAAGATAAGCACTCTGCCGGGGATCATAACTTAGTTTTTTTTTCTGCTGATGACCATTTATAGTGAATTCCCAAAAATCGGGAATTAGGTGTTGACAAAAGCAGTTAGTTGACACTTTTTGTACGGTTCTATTTTGGCATATTTTAAAAATGGTGGCTCGGAAAGGAATTACCTGTTGGTAGAAAACACAGCTTTAAAATAAAGAAGCCATCCATAATCTATAAATAAGTATTTTTGAATCAATAAATGTAACAAAGATTTCAATGTGGACACCTCAAATTGAACATTTCCAGATAAAACGCTTATAGCGTGCCACTGTAGTTATTTTTTTATGCTTTCAATTTTTCTATTCTTTGAATATAATAAGTTTCGGAAAAATAATGTTAACTGGATCAAAAATAAAGATAAAACAAAACTTTCCTGTGCAGGGTTTTAGATTTATGCAACACATAGTTTACTTATCAGGGGCGACAGGGATTTAATTTTCCTGATCGAGCTCGGCCTATAAAAAGCAGAGGTAACACTGCGGAAAGCAACCTAAAACAGCAAAAATATTGAGGATTTCTACTATTTCCTTATTGTTTTTGAAACATGTTTGAGATAGTTCCTCGATAATTATGCGGAAGTCTCTAATTGCAGTCGCATTTTTCTCAGAGCTACACGTTTCCTGGATAGACACAGGACGTTCTTGGTCACCTAATAAAACACTATTGATAGCTTTACGATAGTTGGCTATAGATAGTTTCTCGAAAATCGACTTATAAACAATTTCACAGTATTTGACTATTGGCAAGTATGCTATTGAGATTATAGTCAACTATTGATAGTTTTACGATACTCGACTATCGATACTATACTGCCGATAGTAGTATCAATAGTCTTACTACGACAGTTGACTATCAATAGTCAAATTTGACTTCCACTATTGATAGTACCATCAATAGTACTGCACCACTAACTAGTACCCATTAAGAAGTGCACTCAACAAAGCAGGTGCAATAGAGCCTTTTCAGAACTGTGCACCATCTAGTAGCAGCGGTGCCAATTGTACGAGTTTGCAACAATTTGATCACTTACTTTGAGCATGTATTGGACACAAAGAGTGCGGCAGAGTTTGGTGTGAACTTGGCTCAGCCTGTATCGAGAACAAGTGTTGCGTCGGCGATGGGCGAAAAATCGGGTCCAATCAAACGGCAAGAAACGGCAAGAGCCGATGTTGTTCGATGGGGTTTTGAAAAGGGTCTATTGGCAGAGTAATCACATCACTGTTGAATGCTAAGCCAACTGGGCTGTTATGTGTAGCGGCACGTATGAGCAAGTGATGAAAACAATGTTTTACCTTGTAGTGTCACTTTTGATGGCACAATTTCGCTTTTGTTAGGCGACTTGTTTCGGTAAAGACCTTGTTTGTTTACTCTCCCTCCCCATCCCCAGCCACCTGGTAAAAAAAAAAAAATTGGGTTCTGTGTATTTTTATGCAGCCTAGAACTTAGTCTGCCTCAATGAGCAACTTGTCTTCCAGCTGTAGATGAGCAATGTAGCCAGTGCAGTACAACTGCTAGCCTTAACGTGCACCACACAGTAGTGATACACGACAAGCACGCTTGTATGATGCTCGTCCAAATTGAAACGGACAGGGGTGAGGATCAATCAAACCCAGGATCCCTGGGTTCTGCAGCGCGAGCTTTCGCTCCATGTGCTCCGAACTGGTGTGTGCTAGCCCTCTCGGCCACTGATCCCTTCAGCCACCCGGTAGGCATATCCGATATGGGTGACTAAAAAATAATAAAACATTTCATCCTGCAAATAGTAAAAAAACTGAGGTGAGGAAAAAGGAGATTGGGTGACAGTTACACTTATATCCTAAATGTATTCTATCAGCATGGCAACCAAAAAACTATGTTGTCACTCATACTGGAAGTGACGATATTCAAGATGGCAGCACCCTTGTGGAAAAAGCCTATAATACTCCTTTGTTGCTACATAATGGTGAATCTGTGTAGTTCAACCTCGCGCTTCATGGAAAACTTTGAGGTCTAGAAATTACTAATAAAATTTGTATTGAACGAATGTGAAAACAAAAAGGTTATAGTTGAGAATGAACGAAGGCTGAGCAAGGCCGCTCAGAAGACTGACCTCAGGGTGCGAGGTCAAGGTGCCACTGCATAGTAACGCATCTCGAAAAGTACAATACAAGAAATGCGTTGTAGGTTGGAGGCACACAGACATCAATTAAATTTTTGCTCACAAAAAAAAGATTGAAATTTGTGTCTGGCATGCGGGGAAGAAAAACCTCGCACTCGAAGGGTTAAAAGTCACAAGTGGCAATGAGGCCCCGCATACCTTGCACCACACTCGGTGCAGCAGTAGGGTTTTTCTCCCGTGTGAAAGCGCCGGTGTTTCTTGAGGTCTGTCGCACATGAGAAGCCCTTGTTGCAGAAGTCGCAGATGAAGGGCCACTCCCCCAAGTGTGTCCGGACGTGGGTCTTGAACAGTGAGATGCCACTCAACGTCTTGCCACAGTGGTCGCAAGTGTACTTCTTGCGGCGCGGCGCTTCCCCGGAATGAGTCCTCATGTGCTCCAGCAGGTTGTCCTGCGAGAGTGCAATGCAGAGGGCTTCAATGTTCCCATTTGTCTGTTTGCTCATTTAGTCGACTTGCACGCAGGCAGCCGACGTTTCCATGATGGTGCATCGAAAGAAGACATGCACACATTACTGAAAAAAAAAAGTAACTCAATAATGTTATACGTTATTCGCTCAAAAAGTAATTGAGTATGTTACTTGTTACTGGGATTCGAAAAGAGTTGATCACTTCAGCTCGAAAAGAAAGCATTACTTTCTCGTTACTCCGAATCCGTCGCTTTTCGGAAGCAGTAGCCGCCTTCCAATGTTTTGGGTCCTTAATGATTCCTCGCTTTTTATTGCAGTCACAAACATACTTAATCCCCCCGCCAGTGACATACTGATTGAAAGAATCGCCCTGGGATCAGTGTTGCTGCAGTTTTAAGCTTCCGCTGTGCACAGAAACATAGACGCGACAAACAAATGTGTGTACTTGCTTTGATGTACAAGCCAATTGCTGAGGAAATGATCTCGTTGTGCTTTAGCACAGCACGACCCCCAGATCGAACTGTCTTTCCTTAGACTCGAAATTTGCATGCACAGCTCAGACAGCAGAGATATCAGGGCGGATATTAGTCTGGTGGACTTTGCTGCCCACAGATGGTATCAAACGGAACAAAAATACTGTGACAAAAACCCAGAAGCTTCCTCGAGACAAACACTCAAAAGCAGATTTGGGAGATCCCGGCGTGTGGTACCAGTGGTAGATTCAAAGGGGGGGTTCCGGATGCCCTGACTCTCCTCTTCAATTCCGCATGTGTAAGTAAAAACTTGGGGTGGGAAAATGGGTGAGTGGGGTGGGGGGGGGGGTGATGTTTGTCAGACATGTGATAGGCTAACTCCACCCCCCACCTCCCTCCCTGGATTAGGCTGCGTCCACCCATATTTTGCATGATTTGCGATCAGCAGCGAAGGAGTTTTTCTCCCTGCTCGAAGGAATAACAGGTTTTTCTTTTCTCACGTTTTCTTTCCCGGTAACCTACACTTATGAAATTTGAGTATGATAAATGCACCCCCTGATGCCACTTTTGTGAAAAGTTTCATCATACTCTGTTTGGCTTATTCATTTATTTATTTTGTTTCTGAAGTCTGAATAGGCCTGCAAGCGCCCTGTACTTTGGAACTGCTACTTTGGCTGTTTTAATGGTTGTTTAATTCATTTGTTTGCTCTTAGGCGTAATTTGCTCTTAGGCGCCCGTTTGTGGCTTGAGCGGCGTCAGCGTCGCTGTAATTGCGCGGTGCATTATGGGATGCATGACGTCATCGGCATCCGCATCGTCACTGATGACGTCATCATCACGTGACCTCATAGGGGTCATGTGACCCTCGTGAGGCAAGGGCGACGCCGCTCGGAGGGAGGAGTAGCAGACAGGATGAGGAGGTGAGGAGGAGGGAAGAAGGATATACCTTCCCCTCGGTACCCTTCCCCCCCTTCTCCTCAAGACCTGCGCTCTAATCTGGCGTTACAGGGAGTTGTAAACGGCTTTCACTTTTTTTTTTATCAACTACACTTGGAGACAACTTTTCTTAGTAATAAAGCAAAAGCTACGGGTACCCGTGCACGAGCACACATTGAGTGCGCCAATCACAGCTGTGCTCGTGCCATCTTTACTTCTTGGAGAAATGCCAGAAAATGTTGTCCCCGAGTACAGACCTTTTCTAAGAACTCCCGTCCCCGACCACCTAATAGGTGTATCCGGTATGGGAGATGAAAAAAGAACAAAACTTTTCAACGTGTAAATAGCAAAGAAATAGAGAGGAGACAAAACGAGAATGTGTGACGGTTACACTTATATCCTAAATGTCTTCTATTGGCATGGTGGCAGCAAAACAATGTTTTCGCCCATACTGGAAGTGACAAAATTCAAGATGGTGGCACATTTGTGAAAAAGGTCTATGGTGCACTGCTGTGCCGTAAAAATACATTAGTTGAAATAATCTTGGTTTTATTCGCCTCTCGTTAGTTCTTTTTAAAAGTATATAAAAGTTTTACAGGATGTAATTTTTTTTACTGCCATATTCTTTTTTTTTTATGTTTTATCAATAGTTTATTTTTAAACTGTTTCGTTTCCACAAAGAACCCCTGAAAAGAAAAAAAACTTTTTTTTAAAAACAGTTTAGTAGGGTCAAGCAAACAAAAAAATTAATTTTATGTGAAAAAAAAAATTTAAAGCAATATTGACGGCGAGAGACTTGTTTGAAATTGTGCATGCAAGGTCCATGACGTCACGGAATGGTCATTCGCTCAACGAGATGGTAATTCGCTCCTTTCACCTCAACGTGAAGGTGAAGCTAATCCACCTCTCCTCTACGCGCCCGAAATGCCGAGAGAGAAGAAAAGTGGAAAAGAGGTGACTACTGACTAAATCTCGTCTCGCACCGTCAGCATTGCTCTAAAAATTTTTGTTCGCAAAAATTTAATTCTTTTACATGCGTGTCCCAACCAGACTGTTTAAAAAAACATTTCTTTCTTTTCAGGGGCTCTTTAAGTTTCACTGTTATTCTGAAAACAGCTTGGAGCTTAATGTTACATAAGTATTATGACACTTCATGGCAATATAGAACAAAATAAAAAAACAATGAAAATAAATGCGTTGCCTTTAAGGGCACTGACTACCCGTGCATGCCCACATATGTGCTCTGCGATTCGAATGCAAGGAAATTGGACCAAAATAATACTGTAAACAGAAAGGAAGGAACAAGTAAATCATTACTTTGCTTAATCGTAATTTCATGGAGTCACATATCATTTTCCAAAGCTCACATATTGTCTTCATAGCTTCACAGAAGGAAAATAATGAAAGACGTTTACAACACCCTGTAAAGCTGAATTAGAGCATAGCTCTTGAGAAGGAGGAGGGTATGCCCCTCCTATTTCTTTGCCCCCTCCCCTCCTCTCAATTTCCTTCCCTCTTCCTCCCTTCCTCCCTCTTCCCTAGTAACGTCACTCGTGAACGCCTCGAGAAGGTTGTGACCTTCGCGAGTGACCTCCGCGATGTCACTCGTTACCCTAGTGACCCTCGTGACGCCATTATGAAAAACGTCCCATAATGCAACACGCGGTTACGAGTGACATCACTCAAGACCCTAGTGATGTCATTATGGGAAACCTCCCATAATGTAACGCGCAATTTCGCCGGCGGTGACACTGAGGCCGCTCAAGCTGGAAACGGGCGCCTAAGAGCTGCCCTCTAAAAAAACAGGAATAATGTTTTTGGAGGAGCGAGAGCAGATATCTTTTCCTAACACTCTGTCTTAGCGATGGCCTCTTAGATCCTCTCCTCGTGGCATCGTCCGGTTGGATTATGGGGTCCTCGTCGCTGGCGACTTGACGAGGCGTTGTTTAGGTCACTGAAGAAGTCTCTCTCTGCATTGCAGAAGTTGTCCAGAACACAGGCACCCATGATGAGACAATGCTTGATGCTGGTACTGTCGACCAAGTAGATTCTCTGAAATCGATGTTTGAGCAGCCCAAAAGTGTTTTCAATTGTCACTCTCTGTTAACCGCGCTTGCAGTTATAAGTCGTCTTCCAACTCGGCAGGGGCACTTTTGAAGATTTGAAGGGGGTCATGATGTACGGCAGTGAGGAATAATCCTGCACACTTGGTTCCTGCGTCCTAGAAGAAGGGGCTCTCCTTCGGGATGCAGGCGTCGTGCGCTGAACTGGGGAATCTGATGAAGACATTTATGAATCGATTCTGGTCATTGCAGATTCCCTGCAGAATAATTGAATGAAACTTGCTCCAATTGTAGAAGGAGTTTGGAGACTCTGTTGGTTGCAGGGTTTCCACATGGCATCCATCCACTGCCCCGATCGTTTTGTGGGAACCTTTCCCCTTTCCTCGGGAAGCCGGCTTGGTTCCTCCGACCAGCTTTCTCGTCAGGCCAGGCAATTATTTGCACGTTGATGCTGTTCAGAAAGAGCACTCTTTCAATGCAGGGGTGAATGGACAACTCCGTTTTGTCCAAGTGGTTAGCAATCTGGTACATCGTCGCTTGCATGCTCAAATCTAAGCATGATGAGCAACGTTTTCTCTGCCGAAACCTGTCGTCGCCCACCAACGGGATACGGATAAAATGCTGAGGCTTTAAATCGGCCAGCCACCTCCACACGCGTTTCTCTTGAAAGCCGGAACAAGCGCTTGACCTCGAAGTCAAAGTAGAAGTCGATCACCTTTTTGCAGTATGGGGACCTGCTTCTGTCGGTTCGTGCTAAAACAATCGAGGCAAGGGCGACGGTGTCGTCAAGCTCATTGTCGCCCTCGTCCTCAATAAGTGCTACTGCAGCCACCAGTAAGTCCCGACCGGACATCGTCGCCTTGATTTCGCAAAGGTATCAGGGTGTATGAGGTTGATGAAATGTCTATGAAAACGATCGCAGCAAGAAAGCAGACAGTAACTATTAAATATGCACTTTTTTCATTGGATGCTGCACACACTTTTTAACAGTGCTTTGTGTAAAACATATTTGTAAAATATTTTGTTAAAGGGGCGGTGCAATGATTTTAACACTGAACGAATGTGCAGCTTGTATTTTTTATATTGTTTACTTCGGCATAAGTAAAAGAAAAAGTGCCACCATACCCCAAAATGCCTCTATTTTGCTGCATAATCACAAAAAAAAAAAAAAAAAAACTTTTTTTCCCAACCTGCGGCCACATGGTGGCCCCAAATGGAACCTGTGGTGTGACGTCATTCGGAGTGGTTTTTGTAAGTGATAGTGTTAGGCAATTGTAAGCTTGATTTAAGCTTAAGTTTAAAAAATCTTGTTGTTTAGGCACGCAGAAACGCTTCAAAAGCCTAATATTGCCGCTAAAAGGGTATGAATTATTTGTGGCGCCATCTACCGCAAGTCAACAGAACCTGCCGTCACCGTCATCCGTCGACGCCCGTGTCGCTTACGGCGGCTACACGAGCAACCCGGACGTTTTGTCTTTCCCTCGCTCGACGGAGTGCGTTGGTCGTGGTCCGTAGTATCGTGGTATCGTTATTGTTCCTGGTGTCTCGACCTCGACTTTGACTTCGACTGCCCGCCGCGCCGCCATGTTGGTCAGGAATCGACGGGAGAGCGGGAGAGCGGCGAGCCTGGCGAGCCGGCGAGCGCTGGGGAAACGGAAGCCAGAAGAACCCAACCGGAAACCAACGCCACTCCGAATGACGTCACAGGTGAAGCCGGTGCCGCTTCAATGTTGAGTTGAGGGGTGCCGGGGATACCAATTTCTTTTATTTTTTTTAATGAAAACTAAGGCAAGTAAGAAAGAATAGTTTTCGGTACTTCGTTTTATATGTGGCCGGGATCAATTCCCGCAATTAATTAGCCAAAGTCCGCAAATTGTTGCACCGCCCCTTTAAAGAAACCTATTTAACCCTTTAAGTGCCACTTCTTTTTAAGGCAACCTAAAAATGCCATATATTTTTATTAAGAAGTTTTAGTCCTCTAGTATAACAGATAAAATTTCAGAAGTATATTACGCAAAAATCAGCGGCGGCGAAATAAAAAAAAGGCGTTAACTAAAACGAGTGCTGCCATCTATGATCAGCGCCGCAAACTACTCAGACAAGCTTAGCTCGCCCGTGGTATTAACCCCTTGCCTACTCATTTTTTTTCTTTAAAGATCGTACAGAAAGCTTTATTTAAATCAAGCAATTTGCGTCAAAATAAAGAAAAACGTTTCCTTGGCTTTCAGGCGTAGTCTCGTGCTCTATACCAGGACTTCTGGTCGTCTCCTCTTCTTCAGTAGTTCTTCACAGATTGATAGAAATCGAGAGATTAGCAGAAACCTCACATAGGACATCGTTTTGCTGAAAATTGGGGTCTCCACTATGGACCTCTTGGACCAGTTCATTTTGACTGTGTTTTTTCACTTGCGTCATAATGATGCACAAGGCAAAGTATGCCTTTATCTCATCCGGAGTGGTGTCAAATCATTGCTCCTCATAGCATTTCTTGGGACAATCCTCGTCGCCCATCTCTTGTTCGGCGTAGCGATTTGTCTCAGCAGAGACAGACGCCCAAAAATCATGACTTGCAAACACGGAAAAGGTCGACAAGGCGCTTGTCTTCTCACCAAGACTGCGTTGAACCCTTGCTGACACACCTGGGGTTTCTACAAAGGTGAACTGAGCAGGCTGGTTGTCCCTCTTCTCCCAGTTCCACTGACGTGCAGACGCCGAAGTCGATGAAATGCTTCCAGGATTCGCATCATTTTCCACACTTTTCTCACTGTCCTTTGAACTCTCATCGGATTCCGAGTAATCGGAAAGGCAGCAGGATTCGTCGTCAGAAATACTGGCGCATTCATCACTTTCAAAAAGAAGTCTTTGTATATCTTCGTCCGCCAAAGCAGACCTCCGCGCCGAAGACATGTTTTTGGCGCGCTTGCTTACAATAGCGCGCTTATTTTTTGTCAATGGAGCGCCCTCTCTCTGTCAAAAGGCAAAGCAAACAAGAAAAGAACCCAAGGTAAACAGGAGCAACAGGGGTAGTGCTGCCATCTGTCGCAGAGCTCACAAAACAAGCTCTGAAACCGAAACACGAGTCACACTCGTGGTCGGGTTTTATGGTCCGTAAATGGCGGCACGAGTGAAACTCGTTATTAGAAGGCAAGGGGTTAAGGGCCACCGGAAAAACCACTGGACGAGCTGAGATCATACAAGGCATTTTTAACCAGAAAGCGGCCGACGAGCTGAGCTCGTCCAAGGCACTTGAAGGGTAAAAAATAGATGCAAATGCTATCATTCATTAATTTATTATTCCTTGAGGGCCCGTTAAGGCATTATAGACCAAAACGTGGCCCTGACGTCGCGCAGCTGCGGTGGCGCTGTTGACGGCGCTGCGCATGTGCAGACGCTTCACTTCACGCAAATTCAGTTTCTGCGCACGCGCAGTGCCCACATCTGGTGTGGGCAAACACGGGCCTGTTTGTAAACAGCGTGTCGGTCTATACAAGGGTGGTCAAACACACTAAGAAATGTCGTTTAAAATGAATTAACAGTCAAGGAGAGGAGGTCAGCAATACACGTGAATCAAAGAATAATATACAACCAGTTATCAATATTATACAATATTATTAATATTTCTTTAATGGTATGCACTGTGTCTACGTCTATGTAAAAAGGGAAAAATATAATTAGCAGATAGACATATTTGTAAGTTCAAGGTAATTTATTAACTCTTCGGCAAATCTATCGGAGTTAGTCTCGGTTACAACGCTATTGGGTTATTTATTCCAGTGCTTGATCGTCATACAAGGCAGATATGAATTACAAAATGCTACAGTTGAACTAAAAATCGGGCTTTGCGGGAGTTATCAAGGCAGAGAGACATGCTGTGGGGTGGAAGGAAGAGGGATGCTCTAATAGAGGCACTGTTATACTACAATTTATGAGACAGGGTTAGTCGAGAAAGAATGCACCTAAATGAGAGAGCGTAAAGGTTAGCTCTGCTCCTTAGACCCGTTAGGCTAGTGAAACGAAAGTAGTCTGTGAAAATGAACCTTAAAGCTCGGATTTGAATTGCCTCTTATTTCATAATCAGGTAATGCTGCCATGGGGACCATACAGAAGATGCATACTCTAGATGAGATCTAACAATTATGTATGATAATTGTTTCATTTCAGGTGAGGAAATTTTAAGCTTCCGCCAAAGATATCCGAATGTATACTAATAGCCTTAGATAAAATAAAATTAATCTGAGTTGCCCAAGATGGGATCAAATGAATGCCGAGGTATTTATAAGATGAACATGGGCCTACTGTTGTGTGATGGGGACTGTGATCTGGTGAAAGACACTAGTTTTGTTTTATTTACATTAGCTGACACTTCCCATTTTTGACACCATTCTACTATAATTTGTAAGTCAGCCTGTAAGAGTAGGTGATCATTATTATTACTAATTGGTCTGTATAGACCATTCCATTTAGCGCTCTCTGGGCGGCGCCATTTCGCTCAACCGCAGCGCCCTCTCCATACATTCGGGAAATTCAGCAGGTTCGGCAGGGTAAAACGAGAAAGAGGGCAGGCGCGCGACTCAGCTAGCAGACGACAAACCGGGAGGTTGCCATTCTCCATCTTTGGGCTGTACCGGCGGGCTGTACCGGCGGGCTGTACCGGCGGGCTGTACCGAACATCGAACTCTCGCGCGTGGCTGCCGTTGTGATGTGGTTTGCGTTCTTAGAACAGTTATGGCTACTCCAATATCAGCCTATAGAGCTCTGTTGCTCTATTTCGGTAAATGATCAACTAGCGTATCTTTGTTACGTTACTTAAGTAGCAGTGGAGTCAGCTGGCAGTACTACCCTCAACTACTGCGCGTATATTGCAACAGGAGAGCACGTTTTTATTTATTATTTCTCACTTCTACTCATGGTCGCTAAAGGCCTACACCAGTACGAACTTTGTAAAGTAAAAAAGGTACAGTAACCGGATTTACTTTTTGCCGGAGACCGGCCAATCTGACAAAGTTTTTCCTTTATTTTTTTCATTTGCACGTAGGTAAAAGCGCAATTGAACCCGGTAAGTCTTTTTATAGAGCATAGTATTACATGATAACATGCATACCGAAACCCCCGAATCTGCACTTCAAATTTCCACAATGACGCGATTTTAAACAGAGTTTGCACGCCAGCCGGATGTTAGCTACAGCCCACTCGGCGGAGCAGACGAGATGTAGGGTGAGGGGGGAGGGCATTTTTTCTCTCTCCACTCTTCTTAGTGGAACAGTCTATAGAGCACAATCGTCAGCAAAGAGGCGAATTCGAGATGTTAGGTTAGCGGGAAGATCCTTTACGTATATTATAAACACCAAGGGGCCCAGAACACTTCCCTGGGATACACAGAACGTTACAGACTCGTTTACAACAGTCTACTCATACAGTTGCACAGACGGAATGGCGTGGTGACATACAGAGTTGCCGGCAAAAGCAGACGACACATTGCGGATCGGTACTTCCGGAAGTCGATTACAGCGCCAGACCTAACGCGGTGGCTGCACGGCTGCACCAGCTGCACTGGCCCTGCGCCGTTGCTGCAAGCTCGCTCCAGCAGCATATGCTCCTACTCTGGCTCGACTGAGCTCAACGTAAACAGATTTGAGAGAAACCAGAAACGGCAATGTGTTTCGTTTTTTTCTTCTTCTTTATTTCAAAACGAGTGCATGCAGGCAAAGACGGTTTTATCATAGAAGTGGCGCAGGACGGGCAACAGTTGATGCTACATACCGAGTCTTGCAAAGGCCTTTTGCCCCTAGATGCAACTCGAACAATGCTCACCTTCCGTGTGTAGATATTGCCGCACACTTCGCAGGAATGCGCAGGCGGTGCTTTTTCAGAACACGACGTCACCTGCAAATGACGCCGAACGTAGCACTTTCTTGAGAACTTCTTCCCACACACGGGGCACTCCAAGCCCTTGTTGACAATAGCGGCTACAACCGTGACTGTCTCTGCCGCTGCCACGGGCACTGTGGCCTTCTCCTTTTGCTGCCGCTGCTCCGCTTCCGCAGACCCTTCGACCGCCATGATCTCGATGAGGCCTTTGTCGTCGGCTTGTGCGCGGAGGTTCTCGTTCTCGCAGGAGACGTGGCTGGCTTGGCTGACTGCTGACTCCAGTGGCAGCGGTACTGCCGTTGTGCACTGTGCGTCTCGGGACATACTTGCGGTGCGGTCACTGCAGCCTTTTGGTATTCCAAGTAACGCTGGGAAGCGGCCGTCACTCCTGCAGGAGAAGAAACGGGCGCCGCGCATGCGCGGGCGTGCGGCCCCCACGTGATGTAAGGCCAACGGTCGATTGGTCTAACGAGTGCGTTATGGCGTTACTTCCACCGCGCTGTCATGGCTGCACTCCCTCTGCGATGCTACTTGAGAAAAACATTCCTCATGTACTAGCCACAAGGTTCACCACAGGGAAGGTTTTGCAGTCGTCTCGGATTTTCTAGTCAAAACTCGGGTGCACAAAAATCACACATTTTTTTCGACCCACCCAATTAAAAATATTCCGCACCGCTTGGTCCGTGAAAATCGTTTTACACTATTTCCAGAAGACAAGACCGATCAAGCAGCGTCAAAAGCAGTTATTAGACGTTTTCTGTTTACGAATGATTTAGCGATGACGGAACACATACCCGTGTTGCACGCCCGAATAAGATCTGAATATCCCATTCTATACTTCGTTTCAGCTTCGGTCCAGACGCAGCCGATGCTACAAGCGCGAGCATGTGGCCAGATGTGGCCCAGAACAGTGCTTGCACTGCACGAGCGCGCGTGCTTGGCAGGGATGCTGAAAGCCCGGAGCTCGCGCTTGTAGCTTTAGCTGCGTCTGGACCGAAGCTGAAACGAAGTATAGAAGAGGACATCTGTTTCTGGAGGTCAGAGGTCTTCTGAATGTTCAATATATATTCATTACTGGCTGTTTGAGCCAAATTTTTTAGTAGGTATCTAATAACAATAAACGACACTTCAAATATGACCTTCTCCCAAAATGAAAATCTGTAAAACAAGAAAAAAAAAATGTTGCAATCGTTTTTGGTTAGCACAGTTGAAATAAACTAAATCTAGCTGGCACTGAGTGAACCGATCAAGTATATTTCAATTTAAATCGGTAAATTCCATTTGGTTATCAATTTCTTATAAACTGCATTTCATAGAAATTATAGGATCATTGCAACACCCCAGTTTGGTCTCTGTAATGACATCCTAAAATCGGTGAATACCACAGTGCTTTTGGCCAGATTAGCCTGTCTGGAAATTAAACTCGGCACTTTGTCGATTGCTGCCCATTCCACAGCTGGGTAGCCAACTTGATCTTTGAAATGGCCGTTCCAAGTTGCACCTTGCTATGGTATCTCAAATGCCATAGCAAGGTGTAGGGATTCATCCCTACAAACAAAGTACCCGTATACCTTGCAATCTGTACCAGTTCTTTTCTTGTGGTGGATTCCAGGTAGGGGAGAGTTGCAGTCAATGCATGCCATGGTCCATAGTGGCACCTGTGCAGTGGGGGGAAGTGACCGTGCCCAAGAAGCCGAGAAGCATTGGGCTAATGCTGGCCAACGTTTTTCAGCAGGTTGCTTTAATACCACTACCTGGCATAGGGGTACTGGTTGAGCGAGCAGCGACCATGACGCTTGGGAGAAACATGAAACCCAACTTTCAGCTTACCGCAATATCCCGAGACGCCTTACTTCCGAAAAATAAACCACCCCCATTTTTGGCATGATTTGCTATATTTCTTAAACACCGAAAGACCTGTAGCAGGATATAAGCGAACATTCTTGACTGAGAAGTACAGTCATCTTTGCTTCAGTGACCCTTGCCAAAATTACGAGTTTGGCAGAGACAGATGACCCAAGATTAGCATTTTTTCAACTTTCTCGTTCGCACACCAAAAGTCGGCCCACTCCCCATTTTCACCCGATTTGCTGTTGATTTTAGGTGGGCTATCTCTCAAGATATTACAGTAAACGCATTCAAGTAGTGCCGCCAATGGCACACTACCATTGCCAATTGTCTCAAGCTTCATCTAAAACCACAGGAAACAGTTTTACGTCCTCCACAAATGTTAAAAGTCTGGGATAGAGCAATACGATATCGCCCGAGCTTCCCAACATCCTTTCTAAAGCCCGTGAAGTTGTTTTGTTTATTTATAACAATCGCCAATTGCGTCTGCTCTGCACCAAGCACCAAAATGGCGGCGCCCAGAAGAAAATCAGAAAATTAAGTGCCGACACCAGGAGCGTTGCTTGTTTAGTGACTCGAGGTAGGTCCAGAGAGGCTCACTGCGATGGACATACTCAACTCGAGTTATTCGCTTGTCGGAAGAATGCGAGAATGGCACCATGTACCACGTGCGTCCAACCGCGGCTGCCCCCTGAAAACAGTCTCGGTGCTGCCGTGTTTCCCCATTCGAAGCTAGCAACAGGACGACTTTTGCAGCTCGACACCTTCCTTGAAGCCTGGCATCGTGGGTGGTGCCCAAAAATTTGCCAACACTCACTGATCGAACAGATGTACCGCCGAGCGCCAACTCTACCCTTCCAACGCAAACGCCATGGCACACGCTGCACAAGCACGTCGTCCGGCTTTTCAGCGGTAGTCCTCATGCCTATGTCGTCACCGTGGACAGAACACAGAAACCGAAGTGAGCCAACGGGTGTTGTTTCTAAACGGTCCTCCGTGGGGATGTTCAAAAGGGTGGGGCTAAGAGCCCAGCCCTGTGGAAGTTGCACGTTTTGTTTGGGAGCTGTTTAGTGTGGTGCCAAGACACACTTAAAACCTTCTATCGCTTTCTTGCTTAGTGACAAAGGCCTTCAAGGTCAAGCAGGGACTCCCAGAGACAGCAGCATCGTCCCCAGTGGAAAATTTGTTTCAATTTACTGGTCTTCTGTGCTCCAGTTTAAGCTTCTCTTGTATGTTGCAAGTCGTTCCTCACACTTCATGTCGGAGGTTACGAGAAGCGTTTCGCTAAATCACAGGCATGCTTGTCCATCTCTGCACAGTTTCCTTGGTTAAGCATGTAATATCTTTTGTGCCATTTCATACTTTTTTTTCAATGCCATATGAGGCTCTGTGGGACTGAGCCACCGTGTTTCACTAATTAAGGGCAGCTCATTGTACGTGTTCGGTTTGCAAACAGTAAAAAAAGTAGCTCCTATCACTGTGTTCAAACCGTCTTGCACAATAATAGGCAGAGATAATTATTAATTTTAATAAAAAAAAACAAAGAAACAGGCTGGCATAATAAAACCAATTAAAGATATTCGACAGCAGTCACATCTAGTGCCCGTCATGACAAGCTCGGGCATGCAAAACCATATCCATCGCAGTTTTTGTGCGCCTATGCCTTCAAATATTCCCCACAAGCTATAGCGGCAACACTATTGAAAATTTCACTCTTTTTTTTGTTGCCCAAATGACACTATTACAAGGCACAGCAAATACCTTTGCACAGACACACAAACTAGAAATCTAAAGCAGTCATAACATTAAGATCTAGAAGGTCACGCAAAATGTACTAGTATGTCTATGCCAGTGGTGTAGCCGGGAATTTTCTTTGGGAACGGGGGGCTGGCTGAAGTGGCTGGAATGTCCATGACTTGGGGTGCGGGGGAGATTAAAATGCATATGTATAATTAGAGCCTTCCCCCCCCCCCCCCCCCCTGACTTTGCCACTGATCTATACATACCACTTGAAGAGTCACCTCTCAAGACTAATTCTCAACAGCACCCCACAAACAATGTGCTGACATCTGCTGCAGCAAACAACCTCTTGAGCAATCTGTAGGAATGTTAGACACTTCACAGAAGCGGTTTTACTGTAGTGACTCGATGCGCTCCAGCAGAACACAGAAACACGAAAGACAGATCAGAAGAGCGGCAGTCCTTTCTTGGAAAAGTACCCAACAGTTTTCCAAGACGTCTAGCGGCTGTGCAGGCGCCTCTTCCGACGGTGGGCCGCTGCGGCCACGGACTCCTTGATGTCCGCCACCCTGAGGTATCCCCTTATTTGGAGCCAGTTGTCCAGGCCGATCCGGTCCAGCTGGAGCCGACCGTTCTTGACGCACACAACAGCATCTTTGACGACGCCGGCCACAGCCAGGAAGTTCTCGTCGAGGTAGCGCTTCCGAGCCCTCACCCTCTCCCTTGCCACCAACTCCGACTCCGACGTTAACTTTTGCACCTCCTTCGCCACGGCAGGACTCCTCCAGACCAGCTCGAAAGCCTCAGCGAACCGTCGGCTGCGGGATCCCAGGGCAAACTGAACTGCACAGTACATCAACGACGTGTTGCGGTGAGTCGTGTGCTTGATCATGTCGTACATCTCCTCGACGTTGTACCCCAGGTGCACGTGCACAGAGAGTAGGCTGTGGTTGAAAGTGAGCTCCACGTGCAGATTGCTCAGTGCCAGGCACCCCTCGGGGTCCCTGGGCTGCAGGAAAAGCCGGTTCAGGATCTCGGAGTTCCTCAGCAGCAAGTAGAGGAGATTGGCCTCAGAAGGACCGAACTCCCAGCCGTGGAGGCTGAGATTCGAGATGCTCCGGTTGCGGGAGATTGCCTGCAAGAGGATGCGTGTGGATGCCACCGACGTGAGGAAGCATAAACTGGCAGACCGGAGGGTTCTTGTGGAGGACAGAAAATGTGCCAGGCATGTCACGTCGCCAACCTCGAGCAACTGGTCGTCCAGGTCGAGGCTGAGGTCTTCGAGGCGGTAGAAGTGGACCAGATGCCGCAACTCTCTTGGGGACAAGGTGTGCTTGCTCCACCGGCCGGAGCACCTCATCTTGGAGAACCCCGTGCAGTTCTTCATGACTTCCGCAAACCTCAGGGGTCCCACCTCGTCAACCTCCAGCTTGACCCTCGTCTCTGTCTTGGTCTCCCGAAGCAGCTGGGCAAAGTCACTCAGCATGCAGGAGTACATGATGCCGAAGTTGACCTCCTGGAGTGAATCATTGTACGAGAGAGCTTCCAGGAGCTCTCTGTAGACAGCGACGCTGATCATGTCATCCGGCTCTACAAGGTCAAGTGTCAGCTTCTGCAGCGTGCCATTCTCGCGGACCGCCTTGGCAAACGCGTCGCAGCAGGCGACTTCGCCGCCCGTAAAGACCAACTCTCTGAGGCCCGTGTTCCGACCGACGAGGGCGGCGAGGGGCGTTCCGTCCATCTGCCAACACTCGTCGAAGAACTGAATGTCGAGGATCCTGAGGGCCTTGTGCTCCACCACGGCTTCTACGAGCAACTCCATTGCAGACGCCTGAAGTCCGAAGCCCGAAAGATGCAGTTCCTCAAGACCACGGTTCAGCAGCAGTCCTGCCAGGAAGTTTTCAAGCTCTGTCATTTCAAAGCATACCTGTTGCCTTAACATCAGTTTCCTTAAGACTCTGTTTTGTGCAACATACTCGGCAAGAACAGTTCCTCCTCCCGGCTTAAGAAGATGGTCGTCTATGCTGAGCACGGTAATGCCAAGACTCAGGCCCCGAAGCAGCAGCTTGGCATCGGCAGGATCTATGCTCGTGCAAGACAGCGAGAGAGACGTCAGCACCGACATACCGCCGAGTGCAACTCCCAGACGATCCACTCCCTCACCAGGAGGAACACTCAAGTGTGATAGTCTGAGGGATGCGAGAACCGAAAGCTCCTTAAGTGCTGCCTCCAGCAAGACAGCTGAGCCCTGGGACAAGGTTAGTTCCTCCAAAACCAGGCTCTCTAGCCCTCGCAAGTTGCCGACAGCTGGCAAGACACTGGCCAACTCCTCTTTGCTGAACTCATACCCAAGCTCCAGGGTTGTCAGACCAGAGTTGAGGTAAAGGACGTCGGAGAGGAGAGGTGTCGGGAAACTGGGGTCCATGAACCTGCAGCTAAGCCGCAACTGTTTGATGCAGCTGTGTTCCTTGAGGAGCCAGTGCAGAAAGGCCCATTGGAAGCTGGGATGCACTGCATCTGGGCTGCTGGGACGTAATGCCTGACCAAGGCCGATGGTTTCAGGAGCGACCTCGAGCAGCTCCACCCGGGCACCCTCCAGCAGCAGGTTCCAGAAGACGAGCTGCTTCAGGATGAGGCATGGCTGGTTCTCGCTCTTGCTACATGGGGCAAAGAAGTCCGTCCGCATGTCCATGATGATACTAAGGAAGCCAAAGACTTCCTTGGCTGGCAGTATGTCTGGACACAGTCGGCTGAGGTGTCTGGCATACCTGCGAAGCTTCCGACGAAGTTGGGTGGCTGTCCTGGATGTGAAATGATGAGCGTCAACCGGCTAGCACTGTACACGTTTCAAAACTATATGAAATGCAGTGACTTCTAAACATCTTTTAGTGTGGCCCCCTGAGCACAAATGCTGGGGGACCACATTGAGGTGCACAATCCAGAGCACTGCTAGTAGAGAACCATCCACTATAGGCAGTATTCACCAGAGGCCATATTAAAGCACATTGTTTGCAGCACTTTTACGAAATGAGCCTCCACTTTCCGTCTGCCAATAAGAACAATCCTGATGGTGCGCGATGCACATTATGGAAGCTCTGTGGAAACCTGTCGTTGACAGACGCTCAGCAGTAACAAGTTCTGCTATGGCCACTGGTAAATACCGCGTGTGATTGCTCGCAGTGGCGCAATTTAATTGGTCTGTCTAATGCGAGCACTTCCAAGCAATCAAATCGTGTATATGTTTAGGCAGTGGGGAAATTAGTCAGCCCCAATGGGCGTCTAGCGACTACGCTAAAAATAAAAAATTGTGCCAGTCCACTACGAGTGCTAACCAGGGGCCTTTAACTTGCGTCGCACAGTAGTGATACACAGTACCACGCCAGAACGATTCTCATTTAGGTCAAAACAGAAAGGTACGGGAATTGAGCTCAGGACTTCTGCATTTTGCAATGTCAGCTTTCGTTCTGCAGGCGCTAGGGTACATTAAATGACTTGGCCACAGTTCCTCCGCCAGTACTCCTTTCACAGTGTTACCTTGCAAGCAATCGCTAAGAGCAAGGTGCTGTCAAGTGCTTACACACAGTATCGGTGAGCCACAAAGCGGAGCTCTAAAGGAGCATGTTTCAAGCCAGGATGGCGTATCGTGTCTGGAGCTGGTGGAAACTAACTGCCGACTGTTTATATGTGTAGGTCAAAGTAAAGCGTGTTCCTGAAAAGAATTTACAGTGTTTTTTCGCTGCAAAAATAAACAGCGCATTGCCAAATGCTTAGTCTCCGCCCAAATGTAGTGCTAGCAGTCCGGACCGGATGTCAAAATTTCAAAAATTACCTTGATCAAAAGTGATTTTCTGAAACGTTCAATGGAAAAATGGGGCCCATTCCTGGTGCTTCATGCCATTCGTCCCAATGTGCAAAGCATTCCCAAGAAAGGAGGACGGTGTTTTTCGGCCTGGGTAAATAAACTATGCGTCCCAGAGAGCTCAAACTCTGAGAAAGTGACGCTAGCAGTTGGGATAGAACACAAATATCTGAGAACATGACATTGCGTGGATCAAAAGATAATAGACCCTTTCAGAAATTCAGCGCCATCTAGTCACTGAAATATTGGGCTGAATATTTGTGTGCTAATGGCGGTTAAAATTTTGTGTATATTCGTCAAAGACAGACATACGAAAGCTAAGGTGTTCTTCCATGTACAGTTTTTCTTTCTCCATTCGTTTCAGTTTCAAAGTTATCAAGAAGCTATCACTCCGTATGAGGTGCTTACTTGAGTGAATCTCTCAATAAAATGGGGTCAAGGAACCCATTTTAGTGTTGGACGTATATTTTGCAAATGCAAAGCAAGAAACACGCTCCGCCCAAAACTCAGCACCAGCAAGGTCACTTTCCCTCGTGAAGGCTGGATCCAGCTGAGCACACGTGACCGCCTCTCTGCCGATACGGAGTTGGCGGCGCAAGGAAAAGAAATGCAATACTCTGGCTCTACAAGCAGAGCCAATACAGTTACTCTACCCGTGCCAAGACTGCACAGAGTTGGGGGGGCATGGGACAGACCATTCAAAGTGCATTGATTAAAAGCATGGTCTAAGGACTCCAGTCTCTGACCAGTCTCTGACCTAACATTTCGTCATCCCTTCTTTTTTTTTTCTTTTTTTAATTTGTATGAATTTTGTTATAACCAACCCCCCTCTCTTTTAAATTAAATTTATTGCCTATTTTTATTTGTATTTTTTTTTATCCTTCCCTAGATCTCTTCCACCAATCTTCCAATCTCCTCTTAGTTACCGCAATTCTTTCCCTATCCATTCGTCCATCCATGTCCGGAAACCCCAGTGCCCCCCTCCAAATCCATAGTCATCCCCCCCCCCCCCCCCCCGAGGGTGGGACGAAGCCCCGTGCACCTTAAAATTACATGTTCTATGGCTTCCTTTTCGCGGTTGCATACGTCGCACAGACTGTCTACTTCCTGGAATTTAGCCCTGTACGTTTTCGTTCGTAGCACCCCTGTTCTAGCTTCAAACAACATAGAGCTCCCCACTGAATTATCATACAGCTGTTCCTTCTTTATTTCTTGTTTTTGCACCCTGTATATTGTTAAAGCTGATTTCCCCTACATTCTCTCTTCCCACAATTTCCTCTCTGTTTCCTTTACTCCCTTTTCTACTGATATGCTCTGATCCGGTGGCAATCAATTCGTCGAACGACGTTTCATGGACAAATCGTTTCGTCGACACTGCGATGTTTCATCGACAGATCGTTTCGTGGAAACGAGCGGGTGCTCGTTTCATCGACAGATGTTGCGACGTTTCGTCGACAGCCCGCTGAGCCCGCTCTGCAAGCTCACAATATACGGCTCTGTGCAAGCTCCGCCAGCTGCGCCTCCTCGCGCGGCCTTGTGTTGGATGGATGGATGGATGAAAGATGGCTGACTGGGCCAAGTATGGCGAACCAGTACGCAGCCATCTTGCCTCACCAATTTAAACTATAAAATTTTTTTTTTTGCTTATTATTTTTTTTTTGGGAGGGGGGGGGGGGGAGGGGGGGGGGGGAGCTCGCCGATTGCACTGATTACGGAACTTACGATTTGAGTGGTTTCGCTCGTGTCTTTGCCCGAACCTTTGGGGACGCGTTGTCAAAGCCGGGAAGTTTTGTTATCGACCAGTGTCCTTTTTCAAATTAGATTTTTAAAACATTCAACAATATGCGCAGCTCTTGAGGGCTACGCTTTCGGCATCATACGTGATCGAGGTGTCTGTACGTCATCGAGTGCAACCCTTCGCGGACTGGCCGCCGGCACTCCGACTGTTTTGAAAAAGTGGTTGAGTCATTTCCAGAGCAAGCGTATCTTTCCGCGCGTCGCGTCTTTTGGCAGAACACTCAAGAGCCAGCTGAACATAGCATAGATTGTCCACACGTCAAAACACTGAAGCTCTTAAAGAAAATTTGAAAGAATAAACGAGGCCTGTTTGCGGTGCGCACAGCCTTCCTACCGTTGAAAATGGCATAAAATCGGTTTTCAAGCTAATTGGCATCTGGTCTTAGCCGCTAGCAATAAACTTTAAAGGAGACTGAGCATTTTCCTACGCGTGGTTTACTTTTACGGTGATAAAACACGGTTGTTTTCTCCTCCAAACACTGGGTATTCAACCTACTGTACTTACCAGACCGTATACGATTTTTAGTCTTTAGCATATTTAGCTTCTGGATAATGAATAACACAATAGTTCTCCATATGTTATGCCTATACTGAAATTTTGCATGCAGATAAGCTAATATGTGACCAAAGAACATTAGATTTGGAAGCCGCTTTTTTATGAAAAGAGTACGAACTTGCCCCAGGTATCGGTCTGCTGGAATCGATAAAATAATAATTTAATGTCGCGTGTGGCTCTTACCGACAGATTTCATCCAGTGGTACTACCGTGTCCAAGGCCTTGCATGTGGCGGCTGCTCGAGAGAAGCTATATAATGCAATAAGATGCACATTCGATATCAACTATGGTTTACTTTGTGTAATACGACTAAACTTCGTGTACTGTTTTATTTATCTGTGACCAATTATCGTGTTTGTTTGTTTATTTATTTATTTTTTGAATTGCAATGTAGTTTTTTTTTTTTTTTTTTTTTTTAGGTTTACTGGCGGGCAGCGTGCTCACGGTCCTCCCGGTAGTGCGAGCGTTATTGGTTTTCGTGTTTTTGTTATTTATTCTTATTTGACATTGTTTACAGCCCCCTTATTGTGTAATGTCCTTTTTAATCGGCCCTTAAAGGGGAACTCCGGCGACTTTTTGAGCAACCCCAACTAACTATATTTTTGAAATCGCCGTCCTTTACTCTTTCTAATATGTTATTTTGTATCGCGAAATTCAGAATAGTTATTGTGAAATCGGCAAATGAAAATGACGCCAAAACGAAGATTCGAATATACCCGCGCTTTTCATTGCCGTGACGTCACGGCTTGCGGTTCGAGCAGGCAGTCTAAAAATAAACTATGCCGAGCATTTGTATCGTGCTGCTGCGCGGGAGCTGGAGCGACTTTCCAAAGCATTCTTTGACACCATAAAACTGCCTGTAATCAGTTGAAAACAAAGTCTACAGCCCAAAGAGTGAACCCCTGCACACTCATGACGTCACTTTTTCAATGTTGCCAGTAGAGCTTTTCACTTTGGAAAACACGATGAGGACCAAAATTGTAAATTCTGTAACTTCGCGAAAAAAAAGTTATTTTGTCCAAATATTTGGGTTACTAGTTCAGCGATGTTTGTTGGTGTTTTCAGCAAGTCTTTAGGCGAATCGGGGACTATGAAGAAAACGGCGGAGTACCCCTTTAAGGATACATGACGATGAAACTAGTGTGACTAAACAGTTTTTTCGCGTATAAGCCGCAGTAGCCAGTAAAACACTGCATCACTTTTCGTTTTGAATAATTTAGGGTAATGAACACGCTTGACTTCAATTGAAGTATTAGGGTTGTAATGTTGCAATAAAAGGCTGCAAGCTGTAGTTTTGTTTTAAAATAACCAATATGAAGAAAAAAAAACAGTGTTTACGCCCTTTTCCGCAACCCACCATTGGATCGAAGTTTTGCTTTGTGCCTACGCATATTTTTCTCCACCACTTTTCTTCTTCCAGTAACTTTCGGTTCCATAAACGGGCATCGGAACTTGCAAATATCCGAATAGGCCGCGCGCGAAGTCCTGCGCGCTCTTGCTTTTCCATTTGACACGGATGAGAGCGAGAGGATAGCGCAGTTGCTCACCTTGGAGAGCAACTGCGCTAGGCATCGTCTTTTTCATCTGTT